TTTTATCCACAAACCTATCGTGTAAATTATTATTGAATGATAGCAATACAATGTTAACAATGTCTAAAAGTAATGCATTGTTCAGACTTAAAGTGAAGAAGTCAAATAGTTTGCTCAAAATCGTAGCTCGGACTTCATTGTATGTAACATTTCAACATGTTATCACATACCAATGAGGTAATGTTTAATCTGCATTTTGCCACAGACATTGGTAGACCCCAAATCAAACTTGAGATGAGAGTACGATTACTTGATGTTGCATGACTCAAATACAAAGTACCAAAAAACGACACAAGAGTACAATATATTTGTTGGAAAATACTCATCAAGAAAGAATAACTGTCTGGACATGATAGCACCCAAGATAGTCAAAACAATTGGTCCACAAAACCTGGTGTAGCTAAAGAAGCAATACAACAACAACAAGAAAAGTACAGATCTTAACATTATAGAATGTCATGTGTGAGTAATATAAAAGTAAGCACCACTTTAAGAGTAACTGCTATAAATGAGCTATAAACTGGATTAAAAGTAGGGTCAAAGGTCCAATGTTATCAAAAACATACGCAAATATAACTTAGTACTTCAACCCATCTCTTGACAAAATATATAAGAATTTGCCCCATTTAGCTTTAATATAATACCAGAGGCAGTGCAGTGAGCAGCCAGTCCAAGTTTTAGTACTCCTGTGGGACTATGAATAGCTTGTTCCTATGGACAAACTTAGCCACTTCACTCAACAGGAGGCTTGTTTGTCATATCACTTTTAGTCAAGATCCTTAGGGAACTTGCACATATCTTCTCATGTCTACAAAATAGCTGCAGTCTATCTCACCTGCATTGTGCTGTACCTGCTGCACGCGTGGAGGTTTACAACATCTCTGCAAGTTTCCCCACAATGCGTAAACTAAGATTTAGAAAAGTTTGCAAGCTTACCGTGACCAGATGGCATGTGAGTAGCAAGCAGAAGGTTATTCCGTGAATTGAAGTGCCCATTTTCCAGCTGCAACTCAGCGCTGAGCTGCAATCGCTGCTGGGCTGGGGGGAAATGAAAGTCCCGACTCGTCCCTTCTTCTTTACAGTGCAGCAGTGCGACTTTCAGATTTTTCCTTCCGCTCCACATCAACAGGTAAAAAAAAAAAAATCACGTATCCCTAGAGCGGGGATACGGAAATAATCTTGCAGGAATGGAGATTCTTGTATACTCGCGCAGAACGAAACTTGGACTTGTGCGTAAAATGCGATGCTACTTGGTGGATAGGTGACTTGAGAGGGACGCCGGGGGAAAGGCAGCAGAGTGCGGGCAAAGAAGGCGGGGTGATTTCTTTTTCCTTTTTTTCTGGGAGTGCTTCGGCCGCTATTGAAACAGAAGAAGCTAATCCCCGAAGAGCAGAGGAGAGCAGACGCCACCTAGACCCACAGATCCAATAGTAGAATGGCAGTGCGCAATACACAGTCTCCACATGTGGCCCAACCCCATCCCCACCAATGCCCCTCAAGCGGCTTCAGTCCCCCCCGCTGGAAGAAAGTTTGACACTGGCTTTTTACAACATTTAAAACGCAAATCTCACCTAAAAACAGGCGATTGTTAACTTCTAGGACGAAGGGATTGACGCACGTGGGAGCTAGCTTAAACCCCACGCAGAACGTCTCGACTAACTTTACACGACTAACTTTATAATTGTTTTTAGCTTTATTTTGCAATATAATACCGTGATTTTGGAGTGAACTGAAAATAATTACCGACTATGCAGGCAATGGGGATATAAGTAGATAACTAGAATACATGCCCTGCAGTTACATTTTTTACTTCTGCCAATGAATCGTAAAATAGACCATGAATTGATTGCGAAATAATAAATTACATACTAGTAGAAGTTCCACGGTCCTCAAGACTCAACAGTGACACGTAGTATTCATTAAAAAAAATATCAAATATGGACAAAAATGTGAGATTTTATTTTTGAAAACCCGTGCGACCTCAGTGGTGTTTTTTGCGTGGATGTTTGTCGCCCTCTTGCGGCAGAAAAATATATTTACAGTCGAGGGCGTGGTATGCCATCTGATGTTTCAAATAATCCTCAAAGTGTCTACTTTTATAATGTGCCCGGTACCTAGCTGAAATTTACCCTCTGTTTGACGAAGAAAGGATCTTGTAAATATTGTCCCAAAGGCCTTTTGCTGCATCTAACAAGAATTTCTTGTCTAAAAATGTAAACAAATGACACAGAATGTTTAGTATCTGGGCATAACAAGAGACAAGTAGTAGTCATTTTATTTCTAGATTTATTTCTTCAGTTGTACATTTAAAAATGTTTCATGACCTGGGGCCGTATTCCTAAAGATTCTGAGAGTCCTCTCAGAGAGCTCTTATCTTAACCTAAAAACTCCTAGCTAGGAGTCTTAGCTTAAAAGTTATTCCAGAACACTCTTAGAGAACTCTGAGCAAGGAATTGACAACAACTCTTATCTTAGTGAGGAGGCGTGGCCGACCCCGTTGCTAGGTATGAGTCATCATTTCAGACGCTGTGATTGGTTGATCCTAAAAGTTAGAACAAACATATTTTTGATGATAATAGGCAAAATAAGGGCCCTAAAATGGACAAACTCAATCATGGAATCTAATCTTAGGAACACTGTGTTATTGTAAATAATAACCAAAAGCTATAAAGTCAGATATATCAATGGTACATAAATACTGTGAATAGTAAAGTTAGACTTATACACCATCATCAGAGCTTACTCAGCACCAATTTATCACACATAATACGTATATATCATGAGCACTTATAATTTTATATATATATATATATATATATATATATATATAAATTTAAATATTACTCTATATATAATATACATGATAAAGAAAATTATTATATTATATGGATAAATGATGATAATGATAACGTTAGGATTAGTAAAGGCTGTGATATGTATAGACTTATAAGGAATTAAGGAAACAATATTAATATAAACATATTATACATACACTGTACAAATCAAGTACAAGGGAGCTTAAAAGTCTTATCCTCTCCCACTCCTTTTTGAGCTGGATTGTTGTTAATAAAACAAAACTGTATATTTGTACTTCTATTCTGTTGTTGTTTTGTTTGTTTTGTCCTTTTTTTTCTTGTTTGCCATGGCTCAAAATAAAGTATTCATTCATTCGTACTGAATGTGTGACAATTTAGGACCACTTTTTCCTCTCTTTCAACTTTTACCATTTCTACTTACTTTTGGGTAACAAAGGTAAAATGGATGAGGTGTTATTGCTGACCAGCCAATGAGAAGCTGGTCACATGATTGACTTTTAAATATACCACAAACATGATTCCTGCTTGAATCTGTAGCGTTTCACTGATTCACTGTCATCCAGTGTATAGAATATTTCTCCTGTCTCCACCGTCCACCATTTTGTGCTCTTAGGGAACTTTTAAGTCGCTAAAAGTCCACCTCTCAACTCTTAAGGGATCTCCCCTTAAGAGCACTCTTAAGAGCTAGGATTTTTTGGGAATAGATTTTATCTTAACTAGGAGCTACTCCTCACTTTTAGGGGAAATTCTAAGAGTTGGTCAAGATTCTAAGAAAATTCTTAGAATTTGGCCACTAGGAGCAACTTTTAGCAGTAAGAATCTTTAGGAATACGGCCCCAGATCTTTTGTTACTGACACTGGTGAGGAAAGGATAGGACTCGATTCAACTTTTTTCTTGGATCAGGATTATGACAGATGAGATTTTAAGCACAGCTAATGTAAATGTTGTCTTTGTTTTTGAACCAAATATTGTTGACTCATGTTATCAATACACACTTTTCAGCAACAGCTTGAAGAATTGGATAAGCAATTGTGTGATCACCTCCTACAATAGAATACAATGGCACAAGTATCATTACCATCTTCTAACAATACAAAATACCCACTTACTTCAGTATCCCCGTCACTCACCCATCGTCAGTGGTATGCACCCTGTGGCCACTATCTTCCCATAAGCTTCTCGTATGCTAGAGACAAATGGACAACTGACCACCCAATACTGACCCAAAACACGGCCAATGTATTGCAACTTATGTATTTTATTCTCCACATCACACGGGCAGCACGGTGGCTGAGTCGATAGCACTCTTGCTTCTCAGCAAGAAGGTCCTGGGTTCGAATCCCGGTCCTAACAGGGCCTTTGAGTGGAGTTTGCATGTTCTCCCCGTGTCTGTATAGGTTTCCTATGGGTGCTCCAGTTTCCCCTACCACTAAAAACATGCACAATAGCTATGAATGTGAATGGATGGTGTTGATTGGGGGCTGATGCGCCAGTGTGTTCGGCAACTCGCTTCCGTCACTGTGTGGAATGATTGGAACAATATCTGATCTCTGAACATTGTAAAGCGCTTTGGGTGACCTTGGTCTTTAAAATGTGCTATATAAAAAACATTTACATGTTCATAATTATTTCTGTCAACCCTTTCAACGTTATATTGGGAATGAAACTGAAATATATCAAAAAACAAATAATGTATGAGGTGTCCCAATGTTCTTAACTGCTGATTATCCTGCAAGTAACAACAGAATAACTGATTCATGGCAAATAAAAGGCCTAATCAAGACATTGGCTGAACCTATTTAATCAAATCCAACATGTTTCCAGTATGGGCCTCATCTAAAACAGGGCAGCAAAAATAATTTCTCACCGCACTTAATATGTTGTGACACATTTAAATGACTAGATCAGCAGTAATTTTATTTCTAGATTTATTCATTCAGTTGTACATTTTTCATGACCAGATCCTTTCTTGGACCAAACAAACTTTTTACAGCATATTTACAAATGTGTATAAAGTATTCTATTCGAACATTACATTGTTCCAACATTGTTTTGGTTGGTATGGCACGGTGAATCATTGGGCCACTTTTTGAAATACAATTCGATAGATGTATATAACAATTTTATTCATATATTGCTCCTATTATAATAACACAATCAGCTGTAATAATTGTTCACCAATATCAGTAATATTTCACCATTGGAAGCACACATAGCATCTCAAAGAGGAGGTTTGCTCCAGTCAGAGCCGTGTTTCCTGTACAGAGTCAAAGTATAATACAAAATGGTTAATTGTTTTTGTATGTACTTTCATCAGAAGAAGTTACCTGTAGTGTCGTATGCAGGGGAAACTTCCACCAAGTCACATCCAACCAGATTCATCCCACGGCAACCACGGATGATCTCCACACCCTGAATACAGAGAACCAGATTAAAAGGAAAATAAGATGTATTAAAGCGGAGGTATCCAACTTGTTAGTTTGACAATATTATTTTTGTTGGGACGAACAAACATTTTTTGAACAAATCAGACCAAAAAAAAATGCAGTCTTCATTTAATTAGAATAATTTTTATCTTTTGCGCTCCCTGCAGGTCACTCATTGCTGCTTCAGGCTGAGAATGAAGGTGGTAAAGAAGGTGATAGAAGCCAAAAATACACGCGTGTGTAAACTACTGATAGAACCCATTTTGACAACAAGAAACTAGTTTATTTTTGTATAGCCCTAAATCATAACAGTTATCACGGAGGACTTCACAAAGTTGTCGATTCGCCCACACAGATCAGAAAATTCAAACGGTTCAAACACATTAAATGCAACATTAAAATAACACCAAGCCATTGGTCCACAAGGGGCAGATGACCAATATCTATTATTTTAATAAATTAAAAAAATCTCAGAATAATACAATGCACAAAACATATAGCACAATAAAAAGTGTAAATATTGTAATAACCATGCTCAGTTTATCAATTTGCCAATAAAACTTGAATGTCTTCCTATAATCTCCCCCTCCCCCCCATTCATTAAAAATGACCTAGAACTAGGGGTGGGAACCTAAGGGTACCTCATGATACGATACAAAGCTCACGATAACTATAATATCACGATACGATATTACGATAACGATTTTATCACGATTGATATATTGGTCAGAAATATACAATATGCCAATTTATGGCATAAAAAGAAAAAATACTCTTTATTTCATGATAAATAGAAATGCGTAATGTAGCCATATATTAAGTATTGATACCAATTAAATAAAAAAAATAAAAAAGTTAAAATAAAAAAAACACATTTTTTTTTCCTTTCAAAATCGATAGATACTTGGCAAATGCATATCGATAATCGAATCGCGGGAGAAAGTACACCCCTACCTAGAACTGCAGTTTAATTTTATAGATTAGCTTCTTAATCTAATCATGAGGATCAATAAAGTATCTTCCTATCGATTCTGAATGTAATCTTTTTTGTACCTGTATTGGGGTAAGTCCTGCGATCTCCGGAGTCCCAGTTCCAGGGGAAAATCCAGGGTCCAACGCGTCGATGTCGAAGCTCAGATAAACTGGACCTGAGCCCATCTGTGCCCGAACCTCAGACATCAGCGGAGCCAGGGACTTGAACCAGCAATCCTCTGCCTGGACCACCCTGAAACCCTATGCAAATTCAATTATTTTATGAAGTTTTTGTTGGTGCGTTATAGTTTGAAACCACAGCAGCTCTAATGGAAGGTGACAAATGCATGCCATGGACCACAGCCAATCACTGACATACACTGCAACCATCTCGTCATCCCTGAACAATATTAGTTCCTGTACCTGTGACCTGCTCCATTCGTAGGCGTCTGCGGAGTAACCGGTGCCACGCAGTCCGATCTGCACCACTCTGTGACAGTCCAGCAGCCCCTCCTCCACACAACGTCTGAACGGCGTCCCATGGCCGATCTTCTCCCCCAAAATTACATCACTCACATCAGCATGAGCGTCCACGTGCACCAGACCCACTGGACCATATCTGCAGAAGACACAATGTTTGTAAAGAACAAGGAGTGCATGTTATACTTGGGCAAGAACTCAATTTTTTTTTTGTGTAGCCCTAAATCACATTAGCACATCATGGAGGACTTTACAAAGTTGTCCTAACTGCCTTTTGCGCAAAGCATTCCGTCCATCTCCTCTTTCGCCTTCTCCTGTCTGTGTGTCTGTCTTGTTCCCGCCTGAACTTCAGTCTGCCTCCTTGACACGGGCATTCGTTCGGAGCCCTCCTGTTTGACCGATTGGTTCGGCTGGAAATCCTATCTGCGCCACCAGCTGGCCAGTCCACAGCCTTTAAATCAGTGGTGCCATGTCCGGATGGGGTGGCTTGTTTTCAGAGCAAGTGCGCCACTCGTTGAAGACTGATGTGTTTTTGAGAGCAGTGAGAATTCTAATTGTGGCTTAAGATATTGAACACTTTAATTCCTTATTTTTTCTTATTTTTGTAAAGTGCATTCTGTTTGATCCTACCCCTAACCCTAAAATAAAAAAAGATCATTTAATTGACCATTTACTTTAAGTTACATTACTTTCCCCTTCTCAAGCCACGTTTAGAGTTGTAACACTAACCTCAACAACAGATCAGAGAATCAAACCGTTCAAACACAGGAAAGGCAATAATAACAAATACATAGGAGACAATGGGGTCCATAAATGTTAATACATGTCCATAAATACTATTTGTTAACTATTGTCCTTCTTACTGACAGTGGTGAGGAAAGGTGAGGACTCTATTCAACTTTTCATTTGGATCAGGATTATGACAGATTGAGATTTTAAGCAATGATAATGCAAATTTTGTCTTTGTTTTTGAACCAAATGTTGACGACTCATGTTATCAATACTCACTTTTCAGCAACAGCTTGAAGAATTGGATAAGCAATTGTGTGATCACCTCCTACAATAGAATACAAGGGCACAAGTATCATTACCATCTTCTAACAATACAAAATACCCACTGTTACTTCAGTATCCCTGTCACTCACCCATCGTCAGTGGTATGCACCCTGTGGCCACTATCTTCCTATAAGCCTCTCGGATGCGTTTACAGGTGTCTTTCAGGTCAAATAAGTTCACATTGACATCTCCGATATCTGCCACTTTCACAGACTCGTATGGAGCTGCTCTGGTGCCACTGTTGTAAGCTCTGAGCATTGCAGACTCCACTCGGATCTGTCGAGGACCAAACCTGAGATGATCACATTCAAATACAAGGTTAGATACACTTTATACACTCAGAAAGGGATGGAAGTTAACTGCATCATCCCATTTACCCGTTTATCTGAACAGACTTCAAAAGGTTCACTCTTATTTAGGGTTTATTTGAACACACTTACTGAATACACCTCTCCAAATTTACCTGTTGATCATCATTCACAAACACACACACACATTCATTCATTCAACTATTGTAAATGTAGGGAAAAACCGGATCACCTGGAGGAAACTAACGCAGACACGAGGAGAACATGCAATCTGAACACAGACAGGGCCGTGTGGAGGCTGGAGGACCTTATTGCTGCATGTGGCCACCGGTGCCACCAATCTCTATATATAACTTGACTCTCACAGGCTCTTCACTACAACAACTGCAGTCATAGTCACAAATCAAGCATGAAACACTTACTGTTGAACTTTGTCTACAGTCTATGGTCGTGAGGAGCTCTACATACCCCCACATACAAACCTAGGGTGTAAGCTAGGATGATTAGTAGTCCTCTATGGGCAATGACTAATATTTTTCATAATTATACGATTGCTCTTTTTTCAGATTTGCAAAAAGACCGATTTCTGCACCAGATCACAGCTAATCAACACGTTTCCATCTGCAGGTTTATCAAACTAGCATGCACCTTGCTCCAGGTCGGTTGGACGTCCCAGTGTCGATCGGAACCCCCACAAACGCGGCGTGCAGTCCGTCCGCGCTCTCCTGGAAGGGCAGCCGGGCCATGGTCGGGACCCCTGACACTCTCGCCACGAACTCTGCACTCACAGGCTGGTTGAACTTGCCTCCTTCAGAACACTTTCTGTTTGGATTTACGCGCAAGACAAGCGTGCGCACTTCGCTGTCCAAGACCCATGTTTTCCCCGTGGAGAGCCGTGAAAAACAGGGCCGAAATGTGCAAGAAAGAGCAGTAAAGTTCCTCAGCACAGAAGACATATTTGCCGAGTTTGATCTGTCATGCAACGGCAGACTAAAGCGCATGCGTTGGGTTGTAGAAACTGGAGCAGCTGGATCTAATGTGCCAAATGAGCTGTTTTACGCAGTTGCAAGCAGCGCCCTTTGGACTTCCCTCAGAGGTGAAGCTAGCCCATTTGACAAATAATAAATAGAGGGATTTTTAAAACGCATTCAGACATAAGTTACAAACAATATTATTGTTTTGTAAAATTCGTTGTAACCACCTATTTTCAAAGGTCTCAAAGCCATTCATGCAGACAACGTCTTGGAGAAAAGACGAAAGATTCTTACCTCATCCGTCTTTCTCACGTAAGAGTTGTAGTGTGAGTTATGGTAATAATAATTGTGTTTTATATTTGCATTGAGGGCGATGTTTGAAGCTGGGGTCTTGTAAAAGTATCCTGATCCAAACAAATCAGAGCACAACTTGCTATATTTATCTAATTAGAAATCTTGTTATATTTACTTGTAAAAAATAACCCTGTGAGTTATTTTTGACTCTGAGAGCTGAGTCCTCTCTTAAGCTGATATAAAGATGTGACAGAGACCAAAAAACATGCATGTGAATTAATAGTTACTTAATGTAACTTAAGTTCTACGAATAGGTGCGTAGTCCCTTAGGACTTCGCTAGTGGGATATCACTCGTGACCCCCAGGTCACGCGCCAGAGAGATCAAAATAAATTTTTGCTTTCCCATTTCCTCTATAAAATTTGCCCCCTGAGGCCCACCAATCACCAACGCCGGGTGCTGGGGCCTTGACTCTAAACCTAAGGGTACTTACGCCAATTTTCGTAGAAACCTGCCCCTGCACTCGCTACCGTCCCCTTAGGGCAACTTCGGCCGCGGAAGGGCGGACCGTAGGAAAAAAATGTACTTCCCAAGCAGGGCCAGCGAAGGAGATTGGAGCTCCGCCGAAGACAACAGGGACCCTCACAACGTGGAAGAGGGGGGACTCAGGGGGGGCAGAAGAAAACAAAGCGGGGTGTTACGGGGGCCAACTTCCTACCAAAGGATTTAACCCCCACGTAACACAAGCCCGTAGGTCATCCGTAGTGTTTCATCACAGGGGGACGCCTCTTTTCCCAGAAACGCTCCTGACGTGGGGGCACTACCAGCCAGGACCGACCCACCACACAAAATGTTTACAGGCACTGTAGGGGGACTGGCCTCTCCCAAAGGGGAGCTATCTGGCACCCAGGGGCGGGAAAATAGAGGACCAAAAGGCCCCCCTCCAGGGGGAGGGAAACCCCCCAACGGTCTAAACTTTTTCAGGTTTCCGCTGCCACCTTCCAGCACGGGATGGGCCCACCGGGTGGGTTGACCGTCCGACCCCCAACCATCCGAAAGTATTAAGGACCCGGACGGGAAAGAAGAGGACGACGCCAAGAAGGCCACACGGCAAACGTCCTCGGTGGACGTGACGCCCCCCTGAAGGAAGGGGGGCCGGTAGAGGGCCGCCATTATTCCCACGCGTGGAAAATTACGGACCTGAAAAATATAACCCCACCGGGGGGGGGGTGCCCAGGGACCCTGCGTCTTTGATTACGGCCCGGGCCCGCACAACCGGGCCGTGGCGGGACCCCCAAACTGCGCAGGGGCCGCTGAAGCCGACAGGGCGGGGGGGCGCCCCTTGTCTTTGGGGCCCCAGGGGGACCACACAAAACACAGCTGGATTCCAACCCGAACCTGAATTGACGACGTTCATGGGCCAGGTAATGCCTCAAGCATTCTGATAGGACCACTAGGGAAGGGTGCTTGGGCCGGCTTCCACCTTCGGGGGGGAGGGCATGCGGCGGCGTGTGGAAAAGGCCCTAATCCTCCCCCACCATTGCAAAAAAAGGGGCGGGTGGACCCCGGGACAGGGGCCCCCCCTAAGGAACCACCCTGGGAGGGGCCCAAAACCGGGGAGGGCGGTTTCTCTGTGAGCGGGGGGCCTTCCTCCCTGCGGCCCGCCCCCCCGCCAGGAAAAACGTTTAAAAAAATACCCTACGGGGTGAGAAAAACCGGGGCTGTGAAATCCCCCGGGAAATATCCCGTCGTGGACCCGAAGTAATGGGGGGCCAGCCGCGAAAAACACCGGCCATGGTAGCGAACAGGGCCCCTCCCCCTTGTCGAAGAGTCCCTGTAGGGAATCCCAGGAACCCCCTTTCCAGCGGGGTGGCCAAACGCCTGGTATCCCCGGGGGGGAACGGGGAATTCGCAACCCAGACACTGAATGGCCTTTCCCACCCTCGTGGCGTAGGCCCTCACGGTTTTGGGGGGGGGAACCGGCGGCCCCTCGGCTTCCCTGAAATGGGGGGTCTTCCCCACCACCGGCCAGGGGGGAAAGAGAACCCAGATCTAACGGAGGGCCCCTCCGGGCCTCTCACAAACCTCCAAAAACCGAGGGCCCTGCGGGGGCCCGATTATCGGGACTGTGGGGAAAACAGGGCTCCTGCCCCTGGACTAGGAGCCGCCCCTGGCTCGTTCCGGGAGGGCCCCAGGGGCTCCATCCACCGCCCATGCCCCCAGGAAGGGGAAAAAAAAACCCACCGGGGCATGCGGGGACCTGGTCCGGGAGCCATTCCCGGGAATCAACCGATCTTTACCCTCTCCTGTTCGATCCTCCGCAAGCGGAACCGGGGCAGGAGACCGCACCGGTGGAAAAAAAAGGCGTTTAACAAAACAGGGGCCGCCTGGCCATGGGTAAGGAGGCCAGGAGCGGGTCCCACGTCCTAAGGCGGCTGGCCGCGGGGGGCCCTTAAGGGCGAACCCAGGGACGGGGCACTGTGGCGTTCTCTGCACTGGCGGGAAAAGGGTTCGGGGGGACCACTTGGACGGGCCGAACCTCCGCAGTACCCCCCCCCCCCCCCCCCCCCACCGTGGGGCCAGGGCCCCTACTCGTCCTGGGAGTGGGGGGGGCCCCCCCCCTGGGGACAATCCTGTTTTCGGGGGCTTTCCCACGTTTCCGGGAACCCCCGGGACCGTGGCGCGCCCCCTGAGGGAGACAGGAGGTGAAGGCGCCGCCCCCACTGGCCAGCGTTCAACCGTCGCCATGCGATGGGAGAAGTCGGGGGGGGGGGACCCCTGGTTTGCCCCTTGCCTGTTCCAGGAGTTAGGAAGAACCTCTGTGTGGTGTTGGTCTGTGAGCGCCACCTTTCAGTGTTCTCCCCTGCAAGCTGAGGGGAGGCAAAGTTGGCAAGCTGTTACCCTCTGTGGCACCTGCCCTCCATCTCCAGCAGGTTTTGATTGTGGAACGGGCTGAGCCGAACCCAGGCAGCCTCCTACAGGAGCCCTTTTTCTGGGCCGGAGGGACCCCCGGCCATCCTTTCGGAGCGGGAACCGCGTCCAGTATTGAAACACCTCGGGACGTGGAGGGGACCACGGCGGCAGGCCAGTAGTCCACTCCCGTCCCGCAAATAGGACCCGGAGTGGGGAGCCTGAAAACCTTGATGGCGGGGTCCGATGGGCTGGCCCCCCTTTGGGGAACCAGGCTCAAGCCTCCCCCCGTCCCGGGAGGGGTGAAGCCTTGAGGCGCGAGAAAATCCCACCTTCTGAAAAATTTCTTTCCATGGTGGAGCGGGGGCCTAGCCGCACCACAGGGGACATTGAGCCGCTGCCATTCATTCCCGCAGGGACCTGGAGGGCGCCGATGGGCGGGGGGGTTACTCAGGGGCCAGCCCCAAGGACAACCTCCCGGGGGGGGGGCCCAGGGACGGGGGTTAATATTTCATCCGGTTCTGTCCACGGGACCAAATGGGCAGCAACGGTATTCAACAGAGGTCTTAGCTGCCAGGGACCGAGATAAACCAATGCGTTGGGCTGGCTCCGGTAGCTTGCTTCTTTTCTTCCCCTGTTTTTTCACCACAATGCCCTGGACGCTGTAATTTGTGGGAACAGGACCCATGTGCCGTGTGGATTCAAGGGGCACTTTCCCTGGATGGGGGTCCAGTATTAAACCAATTCGGGGTTCTATTTATAGGTTTTATATTTCTTACCCCCGCCCACGTTCTGATTTCGGCTCCAAGGGGAAGCTGCTTCCCAACCACATTTGGAAAAAAGGTCCGAGGCGCGGAGGGTGCGTCCCGGCGAATGGGGGTAGGGGGGGACGGCAGTACTTCGTTAAATTTCACTCTTTCTTCCCCCAACTGCGAAGCGCAGAAACAAACCCTCCTGTTGTTTCTGGCACTTTGGGCACGTGGGCGAAGGTACGCCAATCCTGTTTCAGGGTTCATATGGGGATTGTCTTCCAGTTGTTCTCCTTCCCTATGACCAACACCTCGAGGGGGACGGCTGGCCTTGTGGGGACAGCATCCGAAAAACTGCCGTTTGGAAATGAAACTTCGGTTTTAAAACCACAGCGCAGGATTCCAGAAAAATGGGGGACGCACTGATTTTCTTTTGGCACTAAGAATAGTATAAGGGGAGTCTTACAAAGGCCTCCCCCAACCTGGTGGCGTCTGCGGGTCTAACCCTCCCCACTGCTTGCGCCTCGACTCAGGGAGAAGAGGGTGACCTCCGCTTGTTTAGTGCCTCTTGTCGATCCCCGTTCACCTGGAGGGAGAAGCGTCACTTGGGCCCGTTGACCGCCTTCGGGGGAATGGTGTGGTGGGCTTTCGGGAAAAAAATTTGCAGGCGGCGTAACCTCTGCGCAGGTTTTTTCTTCAGCGGCCAAAATTATCTGTCAGGTAGGCCCTGCTCCTCTCCAAGGATGCTGTTAGAAAATTTTTCTAGTGGGGAGGGGGCGGAACGGAGTTTGGAAAACACGAGAACCGTTCACGGGGGGGGCCCCGCCCTCTCCTGGTGTTTCCTTAGGGGGCAGGGGAGGGGGGGGGGGGTTGGCTGAAAAGGGGAGGCCCGGGGGGGGCCTGCGTTTCACCCCCACGTGAGCGCCGAGGGCGGGTTAAAGTGTTCTGGCAGGGGGCCCGAACGTTCATTAAGTACGGGGGGGGGGGAACTTGCTCACCACCCACGTGGACCTTCGGGTTTGGCTTGTGCCCTCCCCCCTGGCTCCTTTGGCCTTTTCATGGAGGGGGGGGCGAAGGCCCCCTGGGAGTTGGGGGAAAAAAACCCAGTGTTCGCCTTGTAGCTCAGAGATGCTAACCGCGGTTCGGCTGGAGCACCACACATTTATTCACTTACCCCAGATCCCTCCGCCTGCCCTTCTCCGGGAGGGGGCAAAACCCATGGGAAAAACCCCGTGTGAATCGGAGGGCCCGGGCGGGGGGGGGCCCCGCCTAAGCCCACGCTGCACGGCCCTCTTTCTGGGGGGCTGCAGGCCTAGCGGGGGCTGCCCAACGGTTTATATGCTCGAGAAAAGTAAAAACACCAATCAGAAATTCAAATCATTTTGACATTTTTTTTACATAACCCCCCAAATGGAGGGGGACCTTCAGACAGCGAGTATGTACTGATGAAATGCCGCACGGGCTTGTTATTGAAAAAAGAAATTCCTTCCCACCCCCGACCTCCTCCTGCCATAGGGAGGTCCGTCGGGGGGTTTAGGCGGGTTGGTTCCCGCGAAAAACCTTCCCCGTGTGCCTGTCCTGGGGGGCCCGGGGGGGAGGGGGCCCCCCACCCCCCCCCCATCGTCGCTTGGCGACGATGAAACCAACGGAAAGGGCGTGGATATTGGTCCGGGGCGCCTTGCCGGGCGAGCGATTCCCTTGCCTCTGTCTCGGCTCCGCGCTGGTGGGCGGCCTCGTCGTCTCGCAGCTAGATGCTTGGGGCTAGGCTAGCCAGGGGAGGTCCTTAGCTGCGGCTGTTCCAAGGCCTAGTTATTTTCTGGCGGTTTCTTGCAAAAATCTTCCGGGGTGACCGAAAGGAGAGTGACGTTTGGGAGGATGGGCAGGGGGTCCCAGGGGGCAAAGCTGCCTCTTTCCTCCGCTCACTGGGCGGTTTTCACCGGGGGGCCCCAGCCCCAGAGGTGTCTGGGGCCCCAACTTGTTGCTGCTGCCATCGTGGGGGCCCGCCATCGGACAAGGCTAACGAGGGGCCTGGGCAAAATCGCGCACGGGGGGATCGCTTGCTGAAGTGGTCCTCGGCCTGGGATAAAGGTGTCCCCTTCCACTGAGCGGGGGACCTGGCCAGATAGAGAGGAGGGGACACCTATCAGGGCCCCGGGTGATTAAAAAAGGGGGGCCATGTTTGTAGGGCCACCGCGACGGGGGACCTGTAGCCGCCTTGGCGTATTACATTCTAATCGTCGCCATTCGCCCAAAGGCATCCCTATCCCGCTCGGAGGGGAAACGGGGATAGAGGATTCTGGTGCCCGGGGTCCACAACGGGATGCGGGGAGGGGTTGCAGGGGCGGTCGAAAAAAAACCCGGTGTTGCCCTCGATGTCCGGGACCCCCGCCGGTCCAGGGGACCTGTTCCCTGCCACGTTTTAAAACCCAAGACAATTGGCCGTTTACCCCCAAAGCGGGGGGCCTTATCTTGGCCGCTAGGGGCTTTGGGCCCACACTCACGTGGTCAGCGTAAATGGGACGAAATCGGGTCCAATTTAACGCGGGTGGCACAACGGTGGGACTGCGCTTCTCCTCCTCCCTCGAGGTGGTGGCTTAACCAGAGGGTGGAAGTCCTTTTCCTACCCTCCTGGTTTCGGTTTTGCGGGTGGGCAGAGGGGGGGCAAATCCATGATGGGCCGCCGCCGTGGAGGAAGTAGAGCCCAGGGGGGGCCCATGTGGTATCCAGCGTGAAGGCGGGTCCGGCTCGGGTTGGTGGTTGGTTGTGGAAGGACACCACCTCGTTTCCAGGTGGAGGGAGAGGGGAGCCGTTAACCTTCCGGGGGACACCTCTCCCGTCCTCGCAGTCACCCCACTCCGCGGGCACGGGTGTGGGAAAGGTCGAGAGGGGCCCAGGTCAATTCAAGTGGGGACTGCCTCGTTTCCTGAGGGGGGAGGAGGTTCCGGGGGGGGACGGGGCGCTGTAAGGCGGGGCGGGGAAGAAAACGCGCGCCTGCGGTTCACTCTACCTCCATGGGGAGTGCGAGGGAACACCGAGAGAGCAGGTGGCGCTTCCAACGCCCGCATGGGCCCCGAACCCCAGGCACAGAAAGCCGCTTGGGGTGAAGTTTTGCTGGTGTCCTTTGCGGCTGGTGGACAGCTTGACCCGACAAGTCGAGCAACCGGAAACGGGGGGACGGTCCGGCGCCGGATGGGGCGAAGGGGGGGAAACCTTCATTCATGAGGATAGATGAAGCAGCACTGGTAAGTTCTAAAAACTGTTTACTTGTAAGGATTTCTTAAAAAAACAGGAATAAGCTTAAACCGCAAAGTAGCAGCTATGTTTTAAGATTGTCAAACCCCTCACCACACATTTCTACCAACTTGAACTCATCACTGCTGAGATATCAAACCTGTTGGTTGTAGGTCAGCTTCAGAGGACACGGGAGACCACAGTCGTCCTCTTGACTTATCATTGCGCTGCACACAAGCCACAAAAGCTGACTTCTGATGCAAAGAATATGTGGACCGCGTTATAGTGTGGGACCATTTTGTTTTAGCCATGTGTAGAGTTTCACATGTATTTTTTTTTTTTAATTGGCATATACAATATTTTCCAGCACAGACATTATAGACCCATTTGTACATATGAACCTACATAAATATATAAGCATTTACATAGGGGAGGGGGGACAGGGGGGGGATTCAGCGCGTTGAATAGACAACTGTACATGTTTATTGTGTACAGTTGTCCCTATAAAATAAATAGACTTGTAGTAATGAACATATGCCACTGTAGGATTGCACAGGTATTGGGACAGAAATGCAAAAAAGCAAACACATGTAGTTTTTGGGTTGTTTTAGGAGTAATCTTTTGGTTTGATTCACAGATGGTTGTCAAAGATTAGTAATCACTGACTTTGGCTGCTGCCTGACCCAGAGGGACTCCAGTCTGCAGCTACCATTCAACAGTTTTTGGGTGAACAGAGGAGGGAATGCTTCACTAATGGCACCCGAGGTAGGCAATGCGTCTGACACATTGTATCATGAGCTTGATAATAAATGAGTTTATCACAAACACTGAATTATTTTAGGAAATATCCTTAAAATAATAATGTATAAGTCAGGCATATGCATGTATACAAGCCTGACTTACTTCTTACCTTCTATGATATAGGCTTCTAAGCATGTCCACACTGCTGAATATCCGATCTGTAATCTTCCTTGATGTCAGGTGGCCAGCGCGGTCCCCGGGCCTGGAGTGGTGATCGACTACAGCAAGGCGGACGCTTGGGCTGTGGGGGCGATGGCCTATGAGATCTGTGGTCAGCCCAACCCCTTCTACAGAGAAGTGGGCCTTGAGAGCCGGAAATATCACGAGTCCGATCTGCCAGCTCTGCCCTCCACTGCCCCGGGCGAGATACAACTAGTGACCCGACTGCTGCTGAGAAGGAACCCACAGAAGGTGACCAGGCTGCACCATATTTGTGGGGTTAGGGCGATGACCTTGGTAGTTATGGCACCTACAAGCAGGTGCCAAAGTCCATGAGCTTTACATTTGACCAGTACTGGAAGCTGAAGATGTCAATTTACATTGTCTGTGGCACTCTCGAAGCATTAAGAAAAATAAGTAAAAACAAAAAATGTATTCCTTATTTTCTTAGACACTTTTATAGAAACGCATGATTCATGAGCAAATGTCTTCATTCCCTTTTGAAGGAGACCTGTTGTTGAAATATTACTATTATCGCTGCCACACTCATTGTTTTTCTTGGAGATTAGCCCTTTCCCTTCTCTGGTGATAACATGTGTTGATTCCTTGTTTCACCAGCGTCCCAGTGCTCGTGTGGCTGCTAACATGCTCCAGCTGAGCCTGTGGGGGAGGAGAGCGCTGGCAGAGCAGGGCAGTGAGAGCACGAGGCGCCTGGTGGACTGGCTGCTGTGTCAGTCTGCTGTGGTTCTCCTCCGCGGCTGCAGAGGGCCCCGCGGCAGCACTGTGGAGGCCGAGCTGCAGAGGAGCTTCTTGTCAAACCTGGAGCTGGAGGAGCTGCGTACGGCTGCGGGGTTCCTCCTCTACGGACAGAATCTCTGCGTCATGTCGCCATAATGTGCATATGTTACATTAAGTATTTTTCTGAGCTTTTAAACCTATTCGAACAGGTTGTTGTAAAAAACATTTGAGTCACATCAACATAAAGAGCCTGTAGCAATTGCGTCTAGGATTATGGAAAGATGAATTCTTCAAACACTGGCCTGTAAAAAAATAAAGTATAAGATTGCTCTAAAGCTCTTAAAGATATGTTGCTAATAGGTTAACGTGTTAATGTGTTAACGTGATCTGATGTTCAGAATCTTCATCATGCATTGGAATGGGGGAGTGGGAAAATAATACTATTTTGAAAAAGACAATTTCTAAGTCTAGAAGTTAATACAGATCAAAAATATTCCCCTGCTGTTGGTGGGTGTCAAACTTACTCATTAGTAAAGTAAGCTTGCCAGTTAAAATACAAGAGTGTGAGTGCATACAGAGATCAAAAGATGTAGGGTAAACGTGAGATCCGTGGGAAAATGAACTGGTCCAAGGCACTTTTGACTTAAAATCTTTATTGTTGATGGGACATTGCAACATAACCTTGCTGGTTGTTTTAAGACCCCAAAATAGCACTTAATATTGTAATGTAATGTAAGAAACGTATGTAATTATTTAACTTCTCTTATGCTTATTTATCTTATTGTGGGAAACTAATTACGTAATTCAATTCTGTATGTGCAATGAATCAATCCTTTTGAACCAGACTTGGACTTTTGCTCCTGTGATTTGCACTATATCTTGACATTTTGCACTTTTTGTGAGTTCTATTTTGCAGTTTTCTGTATGGTTTAAGGAATGGTTTTGTTTGTCTGAGAAATATTTTTGGAAAGATGGAATATTTAGGTATGTTCATAAATAAAGGCGCATTAATCAGTTGCTTAATTCTGCGCTTGTTTTTTGTACATGGTTGATGTTGCATATTGGGGATGCACCAATACGATACTGGTATTGAATAATAGCGGAAAACATTGGAGAATATCTTAATTGGGGTATTGATTGTTATCTGTTAAGCTAATATCCAGAACTGGCTTTTCAATGTATTTTCAGTTTATTTCATCAGATTGACTGTTGAAGTATTGGCCGTTTAAATCTGAGTACAGTCGTTAAAGTAATGGGGGCACTTTTCTTTATCCCCAGTTAAGTAATTTCTAATCTGGCATTTTACCTCCTGGTAAATAAGGAATTGTTGTCAAACATGCAGCCCAACAGACTATTTAAGTGGACCCCAACATTATTTTCAAGAATGATTAACTTGATGTTAAGAGGTTAACAGTTTAGTTTACACAATTCTAAAATTAAGGAAACAATACATTTAATTGTAATCATTGAACCAAAACGCAGTTAGTATATGATCAAAAGAATAGGTGGCCTATCAGAATACAACAACAATCCTTCCTTATCTTTGATCAGATTTTGGTTCAACCAAAATTATTTGTACACCTTGTGGATAGCGTTTCTATCCACACGAGGGAGACAAATACCCATATGGAGCCAAGGGCTCTGTCTGTGCTGTAACCTCTAGGGTTCTCTCGAATCTGTAAGATGCTATGCCGATGATAGTGTCAAAAGACCGCATTCAAATTTTGGGACGAGCCCTAGTTTGTTGTTGTGTTTTTTTTTTTGTTTTTTTTTTATTTGCAAGGTGACATACATTCAACAAACAAACAAGAATATGTGAGACACATATTTCAAGGGATACAGCAAAGTGTGTGTGTGTGTGTGTGTGTGCATGCGTGTGTGGAATAGTACATTGTGCAAGCAACATTATTATTAGTATGTGAACTATAAAAGAACAAAACAAAAATAATGGACAGATAATAAACATAACACTGGATGAGTAATGATAAGTTTTAACCTATGGGTAGATAAGACATGGGATATATTGGAGTTACATAAAGAAAGAAATGGTACGGTAGTAAATGCATGAGACAAACAGTAATACAAATGATAAGAATAAAAAAAAAAAATAATTACAAACATAAAATAAAATGATAAAAATAACAAATATATATATACACAATATACGAGCCCTAGTTTTGATGGAGTATGCACTGCCAGAGAGCACAATCTAGTTTCCCAAACGTGTTATACGCTAGTTCACCTCACACCTTTCAATGAATGTTAAAATATCCACGTTGTAAAATAGAGTTTGTATTATGCCAGTATTTGGGGGGTACGACAGGGTCAAACTTTTTTTTATCAAATACACTTTAATAGAGTGACGCCTCACTCTAAATCTTACAAATCTATGCAATTACTTATTTTTCAATTGACATAACTGCCAGGTTGTGAATCCTACAGTATACCTTGTCCTTGATCAGAGGTCCTTTTAAACCAAGTGTGAAACCTGCCCAACACTAAACGACCTTTCACTGCTACAAGACTTTTTTTGTGGACAGAAACATCTCATTGTCCAAGATGTTGTATACTGAGGGCATATCTGGAATTGGCATTGCCTCACTCTTGCACTTAAGGTAGTTTTAGCTACTATCACTTCTTTTGGCCTCAGATTAATGTTGAGCCAGTGTTGACAAAAGATCCTCAGCCGTGAAATTGCTTCATTTCTTGTTCAGGGAATCAATAACAGCTTATTTTTAAGCTAAGGCCTAGGGAAGGCCAACATTCTTTTTTTGCAGATACCTCTGCAACCCTGCTGTGATTGACAATAGCCTCAAAAACATTTTACAAAAATACACGGTTGAAAATGTCGCTAGTTTTGCCTTTAATCCCACAAGAGCTGCTTGTGCTCAAACATTGTACAATGGCAGTGTAACGACTTAAGGACTGACTTCACTTGACTTGCCCAGCATGTGTTTCATAGTGCCACAAATTCACTTGGTTGCAAGTTGTTTTTGAGTATCCATTAACTTGTGGTGAATGAGTGATACACTGAAAAACATATGAATGCTCTCTGTCCTTGTATGTCTAGGTGCCCTGATGTTTCTGAAATTGATAAAGTTCCCTTTGCCAGTTAGACACTCCTCACCTACCAAGGCATCGCTTCAAATATATATTTTTTACCATAAACACTACAAGCAAAGAAATAGGCACTATCTATCCTTTGAGTATTCAAGCCAGCTGTTTTAAACCAGATTTTGTGGCATGATCTTTTTTGTTTTACAAATTGTGTCTGAAGGCAGTCATTCAGCTTCAACTATCTTGGACCACTGTCTCTTGTCTCCCAAATCATTATTATTGTCCCTGCAGATGGCCTTTCTGTTCTTGATTGGCAGGACATTTCTCCCTCACTCCCTTACACTGCATGCTCCACTGCTTCTCCTTGTCAAAGATGAGCCACATTAATTATATGACTGTTACTTTACTGTACTCTTAAATGTTTTGTGTGTACTTAGTGCACTTGTATATAGCAGTCCATCCATCCATTCATTTTTTTGGTTTGGGGGCCAGCCCCTCACTGGTATATAATATAATATCCATAATTTCTTCCCCATTATCCATTTCCGGGTCGGGAGGGTGGCAGTCAGAGCTGCACCCAGTACACTTAGCACCAGCCCCTCACTGATCCTCCTGCAGGTGGTGAGTCAGGAGCTGAGAACTTTCAGCAGGGGCTTCAGGCCAAGTGAGGTTAAGTGTCTTGCCCAAGGACACAACGATAGCATTCATCAGTGGAAGTCATGAAGTAGGTCTCGTGGTGGGCTCGAACCTACGACCTTCGGGCCCATAATATATATATATATACACATACACATACATATATATATAATATGATTTAAATAAACTATATGTAGATCTTACAGTACAGTACATTCTGGCCTTACAGAATTACCTATCACCTGCTTGTAGGTGCCATAACTACCAAGGTCATCGCCCTAACCCCACAAATATGGTGAAGCCTGGTCACCTTCTGTGGGTTCCTTCTCAGCAGCAGTCGGGTCACTAGTTGTATCTCGGCCGGGGCAGTGGAGGGCAGAGCTGGCAGATCGGACTCGTGATATTTCCGGCTCTCAAGGCCCACTTCTCTGTAGAAGGGGTTGGGCTGACCACAGATCTCATAGGCCATCGCCCCCACAGCCCAAGCGTCCGCCTTGCTGTAGTCGATCACCACTCCAGGCCCGGGGACCGCGCTGGCCACCTGACATCAAGGAAGATTACAGATCAGATATTCAGCAGTATGGACATGCTTAGAAGCCTAAATCATAGAAGGTAAGAAGTAAGTCAGGCTTGTATACAGGCCTGACTTATACATTATTATTTTTAGGATAATTCCTAAAATAATTCAGTGTTTGTGATGAACTCCATTTATTATCAAGCTCATGATACAATGTGTCAGAAGCATTGCCTACCTCGGGTGCCATTAGTGAAGCATTCCCTCCTCTGTTCACCCAAAAACTGTTGAATGGTAGCTGCAAACTGGAGTCCCTCTGGGTCAGGCAGCAGCCAAAGTCAGTGATTACTAATCTTTGACAACCATCTGTGAATCAAACCAAAAGATTACTCCTAAAACAACCCAAAAACTACATGTGTTTGCTTTTTTGCATTTCTGTCCCAATACCTGTGCAATCCTACAGTGGCATATGTTCATTACTACAAGTCTATTTATTTTATAGGGACAACTGTACACAATAAACATGTACAGTTGTCTATTCAACGCGCTGAATCCCCCCCCTGTCCCCCCTCCCCTATGTAAATGCTTATATATTTATGTAGGTTCATATGTACAAATGGGTCTATAATGTCTGTGCTGGAAAATATTGTATATGCCAATTAAAAAAAAAAATACATGTGAAACTCTACACATGGCTAAAACAAAATGGTCCCACACTATAACGCGGTCCACATATTCTTTGCATCAGAAGTCAGCTTTTGTGGCTTGTGTGCAGCGCGATGATAAGTCAAGAGGACGACTGTGGTCTCCCGTGTCCTCTGAAGCTGACCTACAACCAACAGGTTTGATATCTCAGCAGTGATGAGTTCAAGTTGGTAGAAATGTGTGGTGAGGGGTTTGACAATCTTAAAACATAGCTGCTACTTTGCGGTTTAAGCTTATTCCTGTTTTTTTTTTAGAACTTACCAGTGCTGCTTCATCTATCCTCATGAATTTAGTTATTTTTTTATATTTTATATCGTTACCTGCGTCAAACTCCAGCAGGATGTTGTCAGACTTGAGATCCCGATGTGCCACTCCTTGCCTGCAGAGATGGTCCACGCCCTCGAGAAGCTGCAGAATCATCAGAGATCCGTGTCTGTGGCTGGGAGTGCACCGCTCCAAGTACTGCCTCAAAGTAAGCCCGTAACTGCAGGGACCAACACACACTTACATTATGGATAGGAACAAGTTAGATAAGATAAAAGATCCTTTATTCGTCACACAGTGGGGAAATTTCAATGTTGCAGCACACCTACAGGACACAGGGAGCACACAAAATAAGTAGCAGCTATGTTTCTTCGCTAGCTGTAAATGCTTTAATACCAGTCTTTAAAATATATATATACTGTATGTGTAGATCAGGGGTGCCAAATCAGTTCCAGAAAGGGCCGGTGTGGCTGCATGTTTCCCTTCCAACCTCCACCCTCCAGCAGACTCCACGCATTTCCTTAAATCTTCAGGTTAAAACTGGACTCACCTGAGGAAATGGGTGAAGTCTAGTGTGCTCCTGCTCAGGTTGGAACTACAACCTGCAGCCACACCAGCCCTTTGGTTTGACACCCCACAGTTAGAAGCATATGATCATTAACTTCCTCCTCTGTTCAAAAGTTAAGAACATAGCTCTACTTACTTACGCACTACTACTGCTACTCACTTCTTCATGACCAGAAACAGTGTGCGGTTGTTGCCGAGGCCATGTGGATGGAGTCGGGCAGGCAGAACAGCCGGGTACTCCTCCTGAGCTCCAGGCAGCAGTGGCACGTCAGCAGTGAAGGCGCGGTGCACTCGGATCACGTTAGGATGTGCTGTGACTCTTCTGGGCACTAGTCCAAATTGTCTATTATAGATAAAATTATAACAAAAACAATGAGAAAAAAAATGATCTAATTTGCAGGTGAAGATGATTGGTGTTATTAATATAGTGAAGTCTTAATTATCTGAGTTTGAGAAGGATCTTAGTATGCTTAGTATTCCTTTACAAATTTAAATGTTAAGGCAAGGCAAGGCAAGGCAAGTTTATTTATATAGCACAATTCATACACAAGGCAACTCAAAGTGCTGAACAGAACAAGAAAGCATTAAAATCATAAATAATCACAGTACATTAAAAAAAGATAAAAATATAAAATCCCTCAGTTGTATGCACAGCTAAACATAACTGTTTTCAACCTTGTCTTAAACATTGTCAGAGAGGAGGCCTGTCTCACATCTTCAGGAAGACTGTTCCAGATTTTAGCAGCATGAATCTGAAAAGCAGCCTCCCCATGTTTAGTTCTGACTCTGGGCACTAACAGGAGTCCAGTCCCTGTGCTCCTCAGAGTCCGGGCTGGTTCATATGGGACTAACATGTCACTAATATAGTTTTGGTGCGAGGCCATGGAGAGATTTGTACACAAGCAGAGCTGTTTTAAAGTCTATTCTCTGAGCCACAGGAAGCCAGTGCAGGGACCTGAGGACCGGACTAATGTGGTCGTACTTCCTGGTTCTAGTCAGGACTCGAGCTGCTGCATTTTGAATGTACTGCAGCTGTTTTACAGCTTGTTTGGACAGACCTGTGAGCAGGCCATTGCAGTAGTCTAACCTACTGGAGACAAATGCATGGATAAGAATCTCCAAGTCTGCTTTAGACACTATGTTTTTGATCCTGGCAATGTTTTTTAGATGGTAAAAAGCTGCTGATGTTACTGATTTGATGTGGCTATTAAAATTTAAGTCTGAGTCCAGTATTACCCCTAGATTTCTGACCTTGTTTGAAGGTTTTAGGGAGAGAGACTGTAGGTGACAGATGACGCTCTCTCTTTGTTTCTGGGGACCAAAGACAATCATTTCAGTTTTGTCTGCGTTTAGCTGAAGGAAGTTGTTTTGCATCCACTCACTGATCTGTTGGATACAGTGAAGGAGTGAGTCCACTGGTCCATGTTCTCCTGCAGTCAGTGAGACATAGATCTGAGTGTCGTCTGCATAGTTGTGATAGGACACTTTGTTTCTGCGTATTAACTGACCTAACGGCAGCATGTAGAGATTGAACAGAAGAGGTCCCAGGATCGACCCCTGTGGTACTCCACAGGTCAGGGCCATATGATCTGAGACACAGTCTCCAATCTCCACAAAGTACTTCCTGTCTTCAAGGTAAGACCTAAACCAACTTAGGGCGGTGCCAGCGACTCCAACCCAGTCCTCTAATCTCTGTAAGAGGATCTCATGGTCGACGGTGTCAAAGGCAGCACTCAGATCTAACAAGATTAAGATTGAGACTTTGCCTGCGTCAGTGTTCAGCCGGATATCGTTTGTAACCTTAACGAGAGCAGTCTCAGTGCTGTGGTGGGGTCTAAAGCCGGACTGAAACATATCAAATGAGTTGTTGATTATAAGAAATCTAGTAAGCTGTAGGTAGACAACTTTTTCAAGGACTTTCCCCATAAATGGCAGATTTGAGATGGGACGATAGTTGTTAAGTACCGTAGCATCCAGGCTGCACTTTTTTAGCAGGGGCCTGATGACTGCAGTTTTCAGGGCCTTTGGGAATATTCCAGAATGAAGGGACATGTTTACTATCTGTGTGAGTGAAGGTAACAGACTGCTCAGAACAGACTTCAGAAATCTAGTGGGTAGTACATCCAGGCTGCATGTGGAGGAGCTCAAACTGGTGATTATTTCTTGGACATTTTTATCATCTACAGGTGCAAAGTAAGTTAGCTCAGAGAGCCTTTCTGGCTGTTGGATGGTTATCTGTGGATTGGAGACAATGGCGTTTTTGATGCCTTGAACCTTGTCATTGAGTGTGCAAACTCATTGCATTTACGTTTGGAAGTTAGCTCTAATGGCATCTGAACAGGGGGGTTTGTTAATCTATTAACTGTTGAAAACAGAACACGCAGATTGTTACTGCAGCCTTCAATCATTTCAGAAAAATACCTTTCTCTCGTACTACGTAGCACCCGGTTAAACTCGCACAACTTATCTTTGAAGATCTTGTAATCAACCTGGAGGTTGGACTTGCGCCACTTCCGCTCGGCCCTCCGGCACTTTCTCTTTTGTGCCCTGACCGAGTCTGCTTTAGCCCACGGCGCCTTCTGCTTATTTTTCACTATTTTAACCTTCACAGGGGCAACGGTATCCAGAACATTCAAAACACTAGAGGTGACAGAGTTAAACAGTTCATCTACAGTAGAATACGATGCATTCTCAAAGTTTATCATTCCCATAAATAGATCACTCGTATTTTCATTTATGTGTCTTCTTCGAACAGTTGCAGAGTCCACTGGTGGTTTGTTAGTGAAACACATGTCAAAAAATACACAGAAATGATCCGAAAGAGCAACATCGACCACGCTTATATTTGAAATATTCACCCCCTTGTAACTAACAGGTCTAGAGTGTGCCCTCTGCTGTGGGTGGGGCCACTCACATGCTGAGTGAGACCAAAGGTATCAAGTAAAGAACTCAGCTCTTTTGCATTTCTGTCATCAACATTATCCACATGAATATTAAAATCACCTGTAATAACTAAACTATCAAAATCTGTGCATACAACAGAAAGCAACTCGGTAAAATTATCAATAAAACTGTGACATGACTGCGGTGGCTTGTATAGGACTATGAAGAGTATTGGAGGAGATTGTTTTTGTTGTATTTTAAAAGACACATATTCAAAAAACGGAAACTTCCCAAGAGACATTCTATGGGAGACAAAGTGGTCTCTGAAAATGGCAGCTAAGCCTCCTTTTTTGTTTTCCCGTATTTCAGATTCAAATTTGAAATTTGGTGGTGATGCTTCTATTAAAACTGCATTTTCTGTATTTTGGTCAAGCCATGTTTCAGCCATGAACATAAGATCAAGATTCAGAATCAGAATCAGAATCAGAATCAGAATCATTTTTATTGCCACGTGAGTAACAAAGTTATCACTTGGAAATTGTTTTGGCAGAGAGCGTGCCACTTCGCCATTTGCGGCGCTGTGTGCAGCAAGAAACAGCAGAGAGCAATAACATACAGTTCACAGACAATTGGATAGACACATTGTGCTTTTTATAAACCACGGATTTTTTTCTCGGGAAGAGCACCTCTTCGGCCGGCCCAATGTAGCTGTCAGAGGGGGGCGGGATCAGGGAGGGGGTGAGTAGGAAAACAATAAGGAATGGAGGGGAGGGAGGGAGCAAGATGGATAGGTAGAGGGAGGCGGGGGTGAGGGATCCTTGCTGAAGACTGAAATAGTGTGAGTTGTTGTAGATTGTGGGACCTTGTTTATGGCCTTGGCTGAGGAATGTGAGATAAGAGTGGAGAGAAGCCACAGGAGGAGAAAAACACATCGCCTGCAATGTCGCAGTCAAAAGCAGGCAGATATTCTATTAATTCCAATTAAACCGAATTCCGGTGCCCTCAGACCTCCGTACACAGGGGCAAATCCAAGCCGGGTCAGAGAGATCAAGCCTGACAAACAATGTCATTCAATCTCAATTCCAAAGTCTTATGTCCATCAAGTGAACGAGCTGCGAGGTCTTTGATCAACTGTTCCACCAAAACCACCCTTCTTTGTCCAGACACGGCACTCTCAACCACGACACGGCTAAGCTCCTTGTACATCCCATCAATTTTATCGGCCAGCAGGTCGTGAATCTTGCGAACTGCCATGCCTCCGAATTTGTGGTAGAAGAGGATCGCTCCAAACCCAAACAGGAGGATTCCCACCACCAAAATGCCAAAGATATATACGTCTTCCGAATCTTCAATGGACAGGGTCGACAGACAGAGGGGCTGCCACTTGTTCCAGCTGTCAAGCGTATACCCCGCTGGTGAAGTCCCGTCCGGACACACGGGCTCTCCAGACCCACGCTTACGTGTTGAAAAGATAGAATCAATTGCGTTGAGGGACCAATTAATCATTTCCATTCTGTTAAAGTTGTCTGTGGCAAAGCTCCAGGAAAAAAGACAAAAACAGGAGATAGCAAGCCGTTCAGAAGCAGGAGCGGACTAAGACACGTCTTTGCTCGACGGAGGAGGAAGGAGGAAGTCAAGATTAGTCAGATTATAAGAACAAATAAAATTATTGATTAAAAAAGACTTGTTAGAAAGAGATCTGACATTTAGCATAGCAAGTTTCAAAGTTTCAGTATCAGCGGTTGTGGTCGGCTGATTCTTACACGGAACAAGAATTAGATTTTCCAGATTAGACTGATTAACTCCAGATGTCTTTCTGTAATGTATTCTTTGTGTTATCACTAAGGGAATGGCACAGGTGGCTTCATGACAGGGCCCCAGCCGGGTCTCTCCTCTAACTAGACTGCCAGTGGCTGCGAAGCAGAGACCCTGTGCATCCTAGGGAGAGGAGGGAGGAGGATGGAGAGGTGGGTGGTTCTTGGGTGTTGGACGAGGGGGGGTTGGAGGTGGATGGGTGTTAGGGGAGGGGCAGGAGTTGGGAGATAGACGAGGGGGGAGTGGAGGTGGAGGGGTTCTTGGTGATGGGAAACGAGGGGGGGGTGGGGGTGGGGCTGGAATGGTTTTGGGGTTAGGGGAGGGACCTGTGGATTTTGCGGGTGAATTCGAGTTAGAATTTGAGGGACGGGTGGATTTTGTGGGAGAATTTGAGTTGGACGCCCTAGGTGGCTCTGGAGGTACGTATGGGGAGAAGTTATGAATGTTAGATAGGACCCTTGATCTGGCTACAGTGGGTGTGAGAGGAATATTCTTCATCGCCGATCTTATCATGCCTGCAGAGTGTTCCGGTAAATCCAATAGGGATGGAAAACACAGGGAAAGGTCGTCCTCATGTTCCTTAGATGGAGTGGATGTAGCGGGGGGGACCCAAACCGGGTCCATGGAAGGTGATGAGGGAGTCTTTGGTGGAGACGGAGGTGGTTGAGAGGCCCCCAGTGCAGGCCTGACTGTAGCCTGTAGCAATGGGGGGGGCTTCACGGGAGCTGTAGGTGGGGAAGGTGCTGCTGAAGATGATGCAGCAGCCACAGCTGGTGCTGGTGGTGCTGATGCTGAAGGCGCTGATGACGCTGTGGCAGCCACTGCTGCTGCTGGTGCTGGATCCTTTGCTGATGATGATGCTGGTGGACGTGTTGAGTTCTTTTGAGGCGGTGGAGGTGCCGAGACCTCTGGGTTCCGTGGAGAGGGTCTCGCCCTTTGTATCCTCCTCTCTTTCAACGGCTGAACGCGCTGCGCAGGCTGAGGTCTTAAGGCAGATGAAAAGTTATCCATCAACACTTTTACTCCGTATTTGTTCAGATGTGGGCCTTTCCCTTCAAAGAGCTTGAGCCTATTCCAGAACAGATTGAAGTTTTCAATGAATCCAAGTCCTCTGCGTGAACACTCATTGTGTAGAAATGAATTTAACTGGTACAGACGGCTAAACTTCTCGATTTTTCCATCTGCATTTGGAATGGGGCCACTGATTAGCACGTTTAACTCATAAATGTCTACTGCCCCTGTGTGTATCAACAATGTACTTACATCCTTGGTTTGAGATAAAACTTTTGGCACCAAAGCTCTTATCTCAGACACTCTGGCTGAGTGCAAAGAATAAGTCTGTACAAAGTTCAAAGATACATTCCGAATGGCAGAATCTCCAAGCAGCAAACACCGTGGCCTTGACGGAGGGGGAGAAACAGACTGTGGCTTTGCTTCTTCAAACAGAGCAGCATAACGATTTGAAGTTTTGCAAACATTTCGTGGCAGAATTCCACTCCCATTGTCATTCTTAGCTTTGTCAACTTTGGGTTTAGCGCCGCATTTATTCCAATAGTTCTCTTTGTTGATTTTGGGAAAAGTAATTACGTCATCATAACTTACATTTCCAGTCTGTCCATTCATTCCATTTTCACACATTGGAAGAGTCGGGTTAAGTCCCATTTCTGTTTCCAAAATATCCATCCGTTTTTGAAGAAATTTGAGCTCATTTTCCAGAGAGCAGCAGCCATCGCAGATTTGTCTTCGTTTCTTCCGTCCGGACATGATTAATGTTGACAGATTTCACAAAGCTGAAGTCTGCAGAAGGAGTAATCCGTGTTTTGTAGAATAAAAATTTAAATAAAGCGATTAAAAGAGATTACAAAGCGAAGCAAGCAGCGGAGCACCAAGGAACACGTCTACACACTTCCACTGCGGAAGTACATAAGAATAATTGAATAAATAAGAATAAGAATAAATAAGAATAAATAATTGTTATCTGGACACTAAAAGACACTTCCATGGGTTAAAGTTGAAAAAATTCCTGAGCCTGAACCATCTATATGAATCATAGAATGATCACTAATAAGCGTTTTTTATAAGCGCCTTTATACGCTCATACATATAATTTATATCTATTTAATGCCAACAACTGATGTTTATTATAAACATCAGTTGTTGGCAATAAATACATCATCCAGGGGTTAAAGCAAAAAAAAAAGATTTGACTGAAAATTCTCTCATGGAAATATAATGAATTACAGATCAAACGAATTCTTCAAAGATATACATTTAAACTGGTGTATTTTGATGTGAAATTATAACCAGTGGATCAAGCAACTTGTCAACTCTTTGACAAAATATTAGTGAGAGTAGTTCATCTGCATCATTGGCTTTACTTGAGGCGAGATGAGGCGTTGTCCTTTGGCTCTGTCATCGTCAAAATATCGCAAAAGGACATTCAAAATTCTGTCCACATTTGTTTGTGGACACTCAATGTTTAAGAAAAAGGTTTCCCTATCAACTTGGTGCTAGTGCACAGCGCAGTTTTATCAACTGCAAATGATTAATGATAATTAAATCTACCAGCGGTAGTTATGGTTCTGAACGACAGGTTATTTTCTGCGATAAAGCCACAGATAGTTTTAGGTCACAGACACAGTCCACCAGAGCAAGCCTAGTCTCAGTTGTCGCTGAATCTGATGCACCAGGTAAAGAAGTGTGGGAAAGTGCACGGACAGCTGCCAAGTGCGCAGTTTTGAGCTGGTGGTGAATCCAAAGCTGTTTTCTCATTACTCCCATATAAAAAAATAATAATAGCGAAGTACGAACAAGCACCGGATACCTTCATCTTTTTGCACCATGAAGCAACAGAATCCCATCGTCTCCACCTCATCCAGCCATGCCCACCTCCATTTATTTTTCACTCCGTTATCAACAGCAACTTATACAGCTCCTTCTTCCATAAACAACGAGTGGGGCGGCTGCGGCTGTAAAGTGCCAAACTGCCGTTGTGTCCTTAGGCAAGACACTTCACCCCCATTGCCTAGAATGAGTCTGGTGTGTGTGTGTGAATGGTTGGTGGTGATCGGAGGGGCCGATGGCACATACTGGTTGCCTCGCTTCTGTCAGTGTGCCCCAGGGCAGCTGTGGCTACAGTAGTAGTTTATCACCACCGTGTATGGAGTGAATGAATAATGACACATGTGAAGCGTCTTTGAGTGTCCAAAAAAGCGCTATATAAAACCGATGCATTATTATTATTATCATTATTATCCATGATTGTGATTGTGCGTGCATGCTAGGCTAGCTTTGATGAATGAATATAAGACCTGCTAACACACACCTTTCTTCAGCGAGTTTCTTCCGTTCGCTCTCGTTGATTGGCTCTTTTTATCACGCAGTTTTGCATGGGGATCGCCACCAAGATATTATCAAAAGCTCACCAAGACATGCTTGTCCCCATTCCCAGTCACAGCAAAGTACATATTGTACATTCCGTTAAATAAAAAAGCATTGCGTTTGGTAAACGTTAATTATGTCCTACCTTTCCTCTGATAACGCGCCCAGTTTACCGGTCCGCGGGCTGCTGGCTGTTATTGCTCCGTTCGGGATTACATTTTCCTTGTCCTCTTCTCCTTTTCAAAAGCTCCGTGCACTTTTCAGAAACTATCACCTCCGTGTTACCATCGCTAACTTGGCTACGTCCCATTGCCTTGAATCATTTACGGAGCGCTCATGTAGCTAGCCACGGCACGTTCAAGGCCCACTCGTTACTTTTTATTTCTATATACATATAAATACAATTATATTCAAATTATTAATATATATCTAGATATATACAACAGATTCACACGTATTACTATATATTTTGTTATAATTAACCATTTCATTGTGTGTATTATATTATTATTATATATTTTGGTTTTTTTTCAGACCAATTTCATTTGACGGAAATCCGTCACTTAGACGGAACTCTTTAATCCCTGCGCTATACACATGCAATCCTTTCATACAATTGGTAGAACACACTTGAACCTTTTTTCAAATGACAGCAATCATTATTTATTTATATATATATTAAAAAAAAAAAAAAAAAAAAAAAAAGTGATGTTTTTTTTTTTTTTTTCCTCACGCCGGATTTCCGGCACGGTGCCGGAAAACTTTAAGCCCTGCACTTCACATGGCATTAATATTTGTGGTGGTCAACTATTACTATGACCACAGCTACTGATCTGTGTGATTGGTCCTTCTAACCAACAACCATGTTTTTTTTCTGCCGTTGACATATTGAAGGGTGTGTGCTATATATAGAATATGTTAGGGCTGGGCAATAAATCGAATTTTGGCAATTAATTGGGTTTTGAAAAAATCTAATTTGTGAAAAATGTGAAAATAGTGAAATCGAATGAGGGATATTGTGAGAGTTCCAGCAGCAAAGTCTGTACAAGACTTTTATAATATGTATTGGGGGAAACAAATAAAAAATTGTTTTGAAACTTAAATATTGAGTGGGAAGATAACAAATATTTTAAGGGCAAAGTCTGTCTTGAGTGACTTTAATGAAAATCGATTTAAAAATCGACATCGTCCAAAGCAGGGACTAAAATTGAGATTTTACTTTTTTTGCCATATCGCCCAGCCTGGTTAAACTCCTGGTTTAAGTTTTATCAACTTTAACCTTACCATACCATAGGCACCACAGCCACATCAGTTTCCTTGATAATAAACACTCTTTATTTAGATACGATACACATTAATTGAGCCGAATAACTGGCCGCTTTTACAATATATCTGCAATGGATGGGTTGCTAAAAGATTTTCCCACACCAAGTCTGCTCAGACGACACATGTTATAAGAGTGAGTGAATGTCTCACCCATCCAGACTGATCTGCTCAATCTCCTGCTTCACGGCCAATGGAGCTGCAGGCACCAACTCCTGAGACATGGACTTCAAAATGGCTTCACTGGACGACCCAGCCTGCCATAAAAAACACCAGTTCAGAGTTACAGATCCAACTGTACACAGTAATGTATGCATTTTTGAAAAAGATGCACATTTTCATTCTGACAGTTATTAAAAGGCATGTATTTAATTATTGACTATTTTAAATTCTGTATATTAAAAACAAAATATAGTAATATACTATACATAAAAAATATTTTGTTCTGACAGGATAAGAGATCCTTTATTTTTTCAATTGTAAGTTGGGGATGCAACTAGCAATTATTTTGATAATCAATCTAGTGATTATTCCTCAGATTGATCAAAATGTGTTGTTTATATTGCGGATGTGATTTTTGTAATTTAAATATGACATGGAACCAGTTTAAGAGAAGCCACTGGACAATATTCTATACTTCCAGACAAAACTATTGTGTAATTTAATTTAAGTAAAAAAAATATCATTATTTCAAACAGCTCTGTGTGAGTTATACAATCACATCTCACAGCTCTTACATGCATTGGAGTCTGAAATAGTGCAGTTAACGATTAATCGATTACTAAAACGGTTGATTTTATTTGATTAATCATTACAACCTTAATGCAAATAGCTAAAAAATACTTTGTAATGTTTACCCCAAAGTTCCACAACATCTTAATAGCCAAGGGGAAGTTTCTGAGAGAACAGCAGGATATGAAGTTGACATGTTTTTCTTCATCGTCTTTAAGGACTTCCGGAGGAGTCTTTTTGTGGTCCAATGGATGGAGAGGGGCAAAGCGTGCAGCCGCCTCATATACTGCTGCATTTGAGCCTTTTCCAATCTGATTTCCAAAGAGGTAATCATCCAGTTTGTACCCAGAGACATTTAGAGGTTGAATTGGAGCCTGGAATCGTTTTTTTCTGAATACAGCCTGGAAAACACACAGAAAATGAATCATATCAAATCAGTCACAGGATCATTATTATGAGTAGACCTGTTGTAAATATGTGAAAACATGTGAATATAATGTTTGCTTCTTATACTACTCTTTTATAACTGTCTTCATACAAGTCGTTGATAAAGTATAAATAACAATAACAATAAAATTAATACATGACATGTAAACAAAAATCATGTTTACATGTCATTTATTCAGATAATCTCAGTAAAACGGGGCCTGCTTGGATTTATCATTTGAGCAGGAGAAGATCATAGATCTAATATAATGACTAGCCTCTAGGTGTCCCACCCATGGGCACGGGGGGCACAGATCGAGAACATGTCATTAGCATTAGCGTACGCACTTGTATCTCCTGGCAGGTGGCGTTACTCTTGCGGTCTTCCTCCTGCTGCTCGATCAGGCCCAGCCCGAGTCCAAACGCCAGAAACACGGCTCTGTTCCTCACAGACCCCCCGCCGAGCCTCCTGAAGCCTGCAGCCTGGAGCTGAGCAGCCAGGCCTCGCACGGAGCAGCGGTAATAGCGGTAGCGGTGTGCCCCAGAACATGGCACAGACCGCGGGGCAGCCGCTCCACGGAGACGCTCGGCCCGGAGCTTCACTGCCGCTCTCCCACCGGGTTTAAGCAGCCCGAGCCCGAGCTGGATCAACGACCTGCCCAGCTCCAGGCCGCGGCCGATGGCGTGTTTCACCGACATGTTTGCCCCCAAAGAGCGTCAGCCTACTTTACCACCACAACAGAGTACTCAGCACTTCAGAGATTGTTTACAAGAATAGACCTCTGCTACAGCGCATGCGCAAATGCGTAGGGCTGGAAAGTCGAAGCACTTCCGGTTCATTGCTCGGATACAAACAAACCGTCAGCTGTTTGAAGAGGCGGTTTAAGTGAATGGTGCATAATGCTTTGCTTTGTTTTCGGCTGTAATCATCACAGTTTACGCGACACATGCTCATTCTTTAGGTTTCCCAAAGACCAACTGAAGCTGTGGGAAAAGCTATGCAGTTCTGATAAAATATTTTGTCTGATTTCAGAGAGAGTTAACTTGAACATGTATTCAAGCTAACTTGTAGCTAATGCTAACCTGTAATAGTGCGCGGCCAAGCCTAATTGTGGCTTGTATTTTAAGATAAGACACTTTATTGATGTCACACAGGATAAATATTGTCTCTCAAACATTTATTTTAGAGATAAAGGAGGAACATATTAACACGTATTAAATAACATTTAACAAATGTTAAAATATAACAGAAAACGGACAATCATAATATTATCAGTAAATGAATAGGTAGCCCAACTACATCATGTTATTTTTGACAGCACAGCAAAAAGGAAAAAGGCCCAATGTGAAGCTGCAGTGAGTGTGAAGTGGAGATGGAGCTGATGAACAGATAGAAAACTGATCATTCATATACATTGGCTTATAACCAAAGCAGCAAAGACAGCTGTAAGGGACAACATCAATTTATTTGCATAGGAATAGTGTTTCTATATTTTCTTTCTGATGCGTGATAGTGGATTAAAATACAATGAGTTTGAACCATAGACTGTATGTTTGAACACGGCCCTGTGCCTTTCTCATCTCCCCGTCATATTAACGTCAGGACATGGTCAGTTCACAGCTAATTCCGACCGTTCACTCAGTTTTTCTGTCCCAGAGACTAAATGTGTCCAAAATAACACAGGAAAGTCCATTAACGAGGAAGAAGTCGGCGATCTCCGCACCATACAACTGGCACGTGTGGCTTTTTTTTTTTTTTTTTTTTTTTTTTTTTTTTTTTTATTAAACCAATGTTGACAGTGATAACAATCATTGAAACAGGTACAGTAATCAACAATTAACCGTATTTGCACATGAAAAATTACCAGTAGACATTAAAATAATGGACTGGATCAGTGCAAAATTAAAATTGTAAAAGAGAAAAACAAAAACAAGATAGGGAGAAAAATAGAGAGGATAGGAGAGCAAAGAAGAAAAAAGGAAAAATAAATAACAAAGAAAAAAAAACATAAGCATAATCTAACGCTAGGGGGGGTCAATATTTAAATGAAGACATTCAACGCTGTACAGCACTCAACAGTCTATAATTGCCTTCTGTTTTTCAGAAAATTTAATTGAGAGAATGTATTGTTTGAAGCCGTTATAAAAGGCAGAGAAACACGGCCTTTTCCCGGAAAATTTACATGAATGAATATGATACTTTGACATCAATAATAAAAGATTAATTAAGTAAATAGCGTTACTGTTTTGTGAGTTAGATTCAAACAAACCAAACAATACATTCTTCCAATGTAGAACAAAATGCGTTTAAATATTTTCATAAATAAAGTCACAGAATTTCTGCCAAAATAATGCAACACTTGGACAGTACCAGAAAAGATGCACAATGGTTTCAGAATATTCTTTACAAAAACTACAGTCAATATCACTTTCTTTCTTAAATCTGTTTTTAATGTAACATTTTGAAGGATAAAACTTATGAATAAGTTTGAAGGATACTTCTTTTACTTTGTTTGTTACTAAATATCTATTAGACAAAAGCCAGACCTTCTTCCATGGTATATCATCCACAAACATACTCCAGTGAAAAATGACATTGGGTATTGTTGTTATTTCTCTTTGGAACATGGTTCTTATAGCACGATTTTATTGGTAGGGTTATTGACTAGACAAACCCTCCCTGCAAGTGTATCCTTAGGTAATAGAAGAGATAGTTTTTGAGCGTCAAGCCTGCACTGACTTTTGAATAACATGCATACACCGGTAGGAATGGCTCCAAAAACCTTTGCATAATCACCTGGAGAAACAGGGATAGTGTATTTTCTAAGAAATTCATTATATGTAAGCAATAACCCTTCCTCGTTAAAAAGTTGATCAACCCAGTTGATGTTGTTTTGAAACCAGTATTCCAAAAAGAGAGATTTACGTTTATATAAAATGTCTTTGTTGTTCCATATTAAGTATTTGTGAGGAGAAAAATTGTGTTTGCAGATGAGAGACCATGAAAGAAAAGCCTGACGATGGAAAGCCGACATCTTCACAGGAATTTTATCAATATCGAAATTACATGTAAGAAAAAAGTTAATGCCACCTAGTTTGGATAATAAATGGTAGGGAATAATATTCCAAACTGAAGTGGGGTTTTTAAAGATTTGTTTTATCCAATTAATTTTAAATGTGTTATTTAGAGTTTGAAAATCTAAGAAGTTAAGCCCCCCGCTTTCATAAGGATTCATAACAACCGCTTTTCTCATATAGTGGGTTTTACCTTTCCATACAAAGTCAAATAGAATTCTATCAATTTCCCTGAGGGTCTTGTCACCAAGATGCAGAGCTAAGGCTGCATAAGTTAGTCGCGAGATTCCCTCTGCCTTAGTGAGGAGGACTCTCCCTCTTAATGACAGATCCCTCAAGAGCCACCGATTTAATTTTCTCTGTGTTTTTTGTATGATTGGGTTAAAATTAGAAGTGCTTCTTTTGCTTTGGTCCTTACTGATTAAAATACCCAAATACTGTATTTCGCTTTTAATTGGGATGTTATAGATTTCTGATTTTTTTGCATTCTTTTATTGCCATAAGTTCACATTTTTTTAAATTCAGACACAAACCAGACGCCTCTGAAAACTCCTGAATTACATTGATGGCTACAGAGATTTGACTCTCGTTTTTCAAGAATAATGTAGTATCATCTGCTAATTGTGTTATGAGTATTTCTTTACCTAAGAGAGAGATTCCCTCTACAGCCTTGGCTCTGATATGATATGCCAAAAGCTGTGCCACAATTAAGAAGAGGTAAGGGCTCGTTGGGCATCCTTGTCTTATACCACGAGCTAGATTGAATCTCGGGGATGTGCCACCAGAGAGTTTGATGGAACTGTTACCATTTGTGTACAGGGTTTTTATGGCAGATACAAAATAATTACCAAAACCAAATTTTCCCATCGCTTGTAAAATAAACTGATGCTCCACTGTATCGAACGCCTTGTAGAAGTCAAGGAACAAAATAAAGCCATTGTCATCCAGCAATTCAGAATAATCAAGAAAATCCATAACCAGCCTAATATTATTTGTTATATGTCTTTTTGTCATAAATCCTGACTGAGTTTCTTCAATAATTGAGTTTAATACCTTCTTCAGCCTTTTAGCAACAATTGAGGCGAAAATCTTGTAATCATTATTTAGTAAGGATATCGGACGCCAATTATCGATCAGAGTGGTGTCTTTGTTTGATTTTGGGATCAACGTTGTCAAACCTTGAGTCATAGTTGTTGGGAGTTGTTCCTTATTGAGACTTTCTACAAGGACTTCATATAAGAATGGAGCAAGATCAGTGGAGAATAACTTGGAAAATTCTGAGCTCAGACCATCTGTACCAGGTGACTTGTTAGTTTTTAGTGAGATGATGGCATCTTTAACCTCTTCAATTCTAACAGCACAATCACACGTCAACATTTCATCTTCAGTAATGGTTTTAACCATTAATGAGTTCAATAATGTCTCAGCCGATGCTTGACAAAAACCCGAACTGTACAGTTTAGTATAAAAACGACTACAGTAGTTAGATATTAAAGAAAAATCATCTGTAAGTACCCCATCAATATTCAATTTACTGATATTATTAATAGTGGAATGATATTTTTCAAGATTAAAAAAGTAATGAGAGTTTTGCTCCCCTTCTTCAAGCCAACGTGCTCGAGATCTTATAAAGGCACCTTTGGCTTTGTGATTATATATATCATCTAATTCAGTTTGCAGTTTGATCAGCTCTAATTTCTCCTCTTCCGACAACATATCAGGGGTTTTCGAGGATAGATGTGTTATATTTGACACAGTGTTTAATTCTTTGACTTTTTTTGACTTGGCTAAGTCACTACTAAATTTTCGAAAAAATTTCCCAAGCTCAAACTTTAGAAGTTCCCAATTGATGCAGAATTGTGTTTCTTCTTTGGCTTTAGACCAAAAATGACCTATCAGATCTGTAACCTTATTCTTAACTGTTTCATTTGATAACAAAGAATTATTAAGCTTCCAGTATACAGACCGAGGAAGATTTGTTTGAGAGGTTGATAAATTAATCTTTATATCAATAGCCTTGTGATCAGTAAGGGGCGTGGGGCATATGTCAACATCAATATTACCTATGTTAAAATTCTTAGACACCAACCAAAAATCAATTCTAGACTGGCAAGACCCTGTTTTATTGCTCCAGGTAAAAGACCTACTATTGGGGTTTTTAAGTCTCCACACATCTTCAAGACTAAATTTATCCATAAATGTCGTAAAATTGCTATTTGTTCTGTTTGTTATGCCAGGAGGCCATCTGTCCATAGCACTGTCCATAGCTATGTTGAAATCACCTCCCAGTAGTAACGTTGCATTGGGAAATTTTGTTAACCAGGTAATAAAATTATCCTCAATAGTCGTTATAAGATCATCATTCTCCTGTTTTGAGTTGTATCCGTAAATGTTGCATGTTAAGAATATCCTATCAAAAATGTAATTACTTGACATACATAGTGACCATCCGGATCACATTTACTAGCTAACACCTCTCCGTTGAATTTAGCTTTTAATGTAGCAACCCCAGCCGAATGTTCAGTACCATGTGACAACCATATGGTGTTACCCCACTGCGACTTCCAAAAATTGTTGTCATTAGCAACAGAGTGAGATTCTTGAACAAAAACAAAGTCTGATTTAAATTGTTTGGCAAAAAGAAATATAGCTTTGCGTTTAATGTTGTTGCGCAAACCCCTAGCATTAATAGATAAGAAAGATAAAGACAGATTTAACTAACGTAAAATAACAATTGCAAACGACAATAAACCTCTATATAAACCACATGCTGTCAAGATCAGCAACAATATGCAAAATTGTTCAACTTGAACAAAAACATTTTTTTTTTCTTCTTCTTCTTTTTTCCCTAACCGTCTGAAAAAATAGTAACTTTTTTTTTTTTTTTTAAATGCGTAAACACTAATCAGTGCAATTAAAAGTCATCCCTTTAGAATATTAGAGCTTATAAGAACTTGTAAACAGAGCACCAAGTACGCTACCATAGTCAGACAGCTAATTCTTATGGAAATATTTCAACTCCATCGGCGAATCCTCTTCCACCCACGAAATAGGCCGTCTTGCCCTCCTCTCGCGCTTTCTTGATTTTGGGCCACAGTTTCCCGCGGTTGTCCTTGTCCTCTTTTGAAAGATCCAGACTGAAGCGCAGACCATTACCTTGGAGAAAAGCGCAGGTCTTGGCAGCCTTCCACAGATCCTCCTTGTGATGTCTCCAGACGAACTTTATGATGATACTGCGGGGCCTCGGGTCATCGCCGCGTTTTTTCCCCACTCGATGAGCAACATCAATGATATCGCGCATCTTGTCCTTTATAGTTGGAAGCACTTCTTGACACACAGCAATGGCCTTCTCACGAACATTCTCATCCCTGGTTTCAGTCACCCCGTGCAGCCTCAGGTTCCACCGTCTCCCATAACTCTCCACCTCAGCTGCTCGAGCCCAGCTTTTCTGAGTAGCATCCTCACATTTGCCAACACGGGTGTCAATGGCGGCGATCTTTACATTCACTACTTTCATCTCAGTGCGAATGGCGCCAATCATTTCTTCAAGCGCGTCGCTTCTTGAATTGATCAAATCGGCAAGCATGCGGGCAGTAGTGTTAGAAAGACTATCATTAGCATCATGGAATCTGGACAGCGAAGGCTTCTTAGCAAGGGGAGGCTTACTCGGTGTAACGGGCAGTGGAGGGAATTCCAGCTCATCTGCCATTGCTGGTATCGAGCACTCCATCCCGCTGGCGCCGTTGTTGTAGTCGTGTTCGTTAGCAGAGGAGCTAGCACCTTCCTCGCCCGGGAAACGTCTTCTTTCCGTTCTGTTGGGCATCTTCAGCGTTGTAAAGTTACAATCTTTGTCCAAGTGTGGTTAGGAAACTAGTATTAGGTGTAAACTTTAAAATTTACTTAGCCATGAACAGTAAAACTAGTATATTACGGATGTTGTGCTGAGAGCTTGACAAAAGTCCGCCTTAAAGCACCGCCATCTTGGCCGGACCAGCCCTGTGCTTCGGTTTGTTTGTATCCACGGGTGGAAATCTCGCAAAATCTCGCACTTCCGCTTTCCAGCCCTATTCAGATGACACTTTTTCATAATGTGTATGACTTTATTTCCATGCTTTAATTACACTTTACTATCAGATGTAGGGAAAACATGTTTTTGCACACCATTTTTTGTTGGACTATAGAAAGAATGTTACCAATCTGACTCCCTCAAATCAAACATCCTGGATAGAAGCAGGACCATTTTGAACTCACATATAGAGATATCTCACGTGACGTCACGATGCCTCGAACTCGCGGGGCATCCGCCATACTGGAGGACAAGCAAACGCTGTATGATAGTGGCGTGCACCCGGGACCGCATAAACATGTTCAAATTTGTTGCCGTTTTTGGCTGCAGCAAAAGGAGAGACAGGGAAAATAAGTTGTGTTACCGACTGCCAGCCGTCCTTACTTCACACGGCTCAAAAACAGAAGACATCTCAAAGAAACGAGAGAGAAATGGCACAACCATACGCAACAACAAAAAACTAATAGCCACCAGAGCGCCCGAATATGCTCGGATCATTTCATCTCTGCTAAGTGAAATCAATTTGATGGCGGATTTAGTGTTATTCCGAAACAAACAGAAGTTTAAGGATAAAACATATCTGTCTGACTGCAACGTGGGGTTGCTCCATAGACTGTAGCTTAGCTTGTAGCATAGCTGTTATATATTTGGTCTCACACAGGACCTCACCCGGTTCACAGGGTATCTGACTTACCGAAGGCCAGCAGACATGTGAACGACTGAGCCGTTCTCGATGGTGCCCCGTACTAGTATTTATTAATAAAATAAACGGCTCCTCACAGTAGACGCAGAAAGCTTCATTGATTTGAATGTAATCTCATTATTTCCACTGCAGTGTAGCCACACATAGATCCATGGTGTAACAATAAACACATTAAATGTTAATCGGAGAATACATTATACATATACATTCTTAATACACGTGCACAGAGGTTTTCAGAATTTTCTGTTCACGTTTTCATGAGAAAACACTGTTTTCATGAGAAAACACTGTTTTAATGCGACAATATGCGACCGCGGTAAACCTGGATGTAACGATAAACATTAATAATTCATTTTAGGATGCATTTTCAGGATCTGATTCATGAATTTAGGTTGAGTATATATTTGGGTCACTAACTGCTGAAGTTTCAAATTCTCTGTTCAGTTTTCATGTAGTTCGAGAGAGTTCTAGTTTTGAACGTCCAGTTATAGATAGCTAGCAGGGCTGTTACTCGCCGAGGTTGTCCTCCAGTATGGCTGCCGTGGCTGCTAGTCACGTGACCGTAGGATCCCGCTATAAAATATACTAAAACGTTACTAAAAAGTTAGGAATTTAAGGCCGGAGACACAGGTGTTAAATCCCTAACTATAGAATATTATTTAAAATGACATTTGCCTGAGCGGCAAGAGGGGACTTAAAACCATACAATGTAAATATTTGGATATACCCCACAATTTGCCTACACTGCAGTGAAATAGATCCAATCTCCATATGCCATGTATCCCGCATTTATATTTTCCAGGGAAAATGTTGGCTTTAGAGTTTGTGCTGTGTCTGCAAAGATTGTTTCTACTTATAATTGGAAAAAATGAGACAGCAGAGGCCAAAACTACAGGTCCTCAGTTTGGCAAAGAATCCAACTTTGATTGTACTCCAAGGGGTTCTTAAACAGATTCAGCTTAATTTTCTACCAAATTTTGGAGGTTGAAGAGAAAATGTATGTAAGAAAATGCACAATCTGTTCAAAGGTGTTTAATGCAGTATTATTTTGGATTTTAATCACATTGTATTTACATATTGTATGTTTACATGACACCTGCTTCAAACAAGTTTCCCCTTTGGGATTATAATACAATTAAAGTCTATTTATCACTGCATCTTGGGTGAACCACTACAACAAATCATTCCATTCTATATGTGTATTTTTTTATTAAGTAGCCAACACATATTTTACGACTATGTTACATCTCAAAAATACAATAATCAGACATCAACAACACTTGGTCGCTATTTGGCTTCAGAATATAACTGTGTACCACTGAGGCATGGATTTTTATAGGTCTGTAGAAATAAAAGCTTGAGTTTTAAATATTGTACACCACTCAGCAGGTAAAATCTGCTGTCTTGTTATGAGCAGATTTATCCTTCTGTTGCAACCACCTGGTTTATCCAGTTGACATAGTTTCTGATTTTTGTGTAAACTCCAGGAAAATAGGGGTTTGCACAACCGATGCCCCAGGACACTATCCCTTCTAGTATCCCTTTGCACACTAGTGGCCCCCCAGAGTCGCCCTGAAAGCAGAAAATATAGCATTAGAATAATTGATTTGTTTTTTGTGTGCTTTGTGTAGTGCTAATGAAGCATATCGGTAGACAGTTTTTGTTCAAAAGAAAAAGCTTTTGGGTGCTCAAATTATTTACATTCTTGTCTTGGTGAGATATGTATGTCAACAATATGAATAATATACTTCCCTCATTACATAAATATGATCATGAGCATTAAAAAATAACATTGATGAGGAATATAAATTGTGCAGTGGTGTAAGTATAGGGCGCGTTTACACTTGTGTCTTGTTCTATTTGGGGGTGAGATATTTTATTTGTGGATGTAAAGCCACAAATAACTGAACATCTGTCCGCTCGTCACTTATATCTGTGTACATATTTTAAAAAGATGTGAACAAGTGAACCAGACTTAATCGAGTTTAAGTTAGTAGTTTACCTGACATGCATCTTTCCCTCCAAAGCGGTAGCCAGCACAGATCATGTTGTAGTTGACCCTGCCCCAGTAGAAGTAGGCACAGGTGGGGTAGAGGTAGACGTCCACAGCTCTCAGTTCGTCAGAGAGCACCTTGTTGTACAGTGACGTGATGCCCCAGCCGCTCACTGTGCACACCACATCCATACCAGTCGGGGGCTGAGTGTAAGGGTCAGGGAGACGGGCAGGCTCCACAAAAGCATTTATTATAGCAGGTTCACTCAGCTGTAAAACCATATTCATGCGGTTAGGTCTGTCACAATAATTCATTTATCATCTTTTTGTTCAGGAATTCTCTGTTTTTAAATTTGTTATTGTGTCTTTGGAATTAATATGCTAAAACAATTTGTTTTCAATATATAGTGTTTTCAAACATGATAGGAAGTTTAATATGACCTGCCTTGCATGTTATACTTGTACATGTTTGAGTACTTCTTCTCCATGCTGGTGCAGTAGCTGATGATCCAGGATATATTTGGTCATTTTATCATTGCATTTCCTTGTATTTTAATTGTTTGATTTTCTAATATGTTGTTAGTGACGTCTGCTGTTGGGATTTTGGGCTATACAAACACATAGTGAATTGAAGAGGGAGATCTTACCTTCAGTAGCATAATGTCATTGTTGTAAGTTTTGTAGTTGAAATTATGCATATAAATTGCTGAAACATTGAATATTTGCTCATATCCCTCCTCGACCCATAAATTGTGTTCTCCAAAAACCAAAATCATTGCACTGGTCCTAAAATGGAAAAGAGTAGTTAACTACTATTGTAAATCCTTTACTATAAAAATTCACATTGGATTGGACACATTAGAATGGCAATTACTAAACTAGAAATTGTGCAATGGCTGAAGCTGAACAAAGTTTTAGAAAACACTAAAAATATCAGAAACATTCAACAAGAATGAGAAAAAAGCAAGTATAGTTACATACGGCCTCCAGCAGTGGGCAGCAGACACAGCCCATTGGCTTGCGATCAGTGTGCATCCGCAGTAAGGGGTCCGGGGTATGGTGGGTCCTACTGCCTGTATTGAACCCTGGTATTTACGTGTGTAGGGTTCTACCTGGATGCCACCAATAATCCTCTGTGCATCTGTGCATGGAAGACAATTGAAATATTTACTCCGATTACACATCTGTTTTGAAATGAAGAATTAGTACCTCTTACTTCATTGTCTTGCATTCAAAGTATACTGAGTAAATATGTTTAAAGTATGAGTATAAAAAAACAAAAACAAATTTGTGCCGTGCCAAAATAAAGTTTTACCAAACACGTTGAAGATAGTAGCAAGAGGAACACAACATTTTGACAAATTCTCAAAATTGAAATTTCGAAATAAACTTTTAATATTATCTCTCTAAAGTAATAACATTTGAGAATGCCTCAGTTACCTCTTTGACTTGATGGGATTTTTCTTCATGGTTAAACAAATGTATGTTCACCTGCCCAGGGAATGAAAGCTGCAGCTAAATCTGGTGCAATTCAACTGTAATTATATTTATCACCATCCATCCATCCATCCATTTTCTTCCGCTTAATCCGTTGCCGGGTCGCGGGGGCAGCAGTCTAAGCAGAGACGCCCAGACTTCCCTATCCACACACACCTCCTCCAGCTCGTCCGGGGGGACTCCAAGGCGTTCCCAGGCCAGCTGAGAGACATAGTCCCTCCAGCGTGTCCTGGGTCTTCCCCGGGGCCTCCTCCCGGTGGGACGTGCCCGGAACACCTCCCCAGGGAGGCGTCCAGGAGGCATCCGGAACAGATGCCCGAGCCACCTCAGTATATTTATCACATCCCTTTTTAAAATGGAACTTGGTTCCCGTTAATTCACTTGAATGACTGTGATAGACGACACACACACCATTTGTCTGTCACCTCTACAATACATTTTAATTTCAACATTGCAAATAAGTTTAAATATAGAAAATATGTTGAATGCTACACAAACGTTACATTTAAGTGGACACCCCATCAAAGAAAAATACAAAGTCAGTGCAGTTTAAGCCCTCTATTGATAGCTATAATGGTCTTTGCTTTGTGAAGATTATGACATGGGTAACATGTAACTGTAGAACATACCTGATACAGCGAAAGCCAAAAGGATAAGAATGGAACATGCCTGAGGGGGCGCCATTTAATCGCTGTTCTTCTGATAAACTTATTGTGCTGGAATTATAAAAGAACAAATAATCCTATCATAAATAATGCAGAGCGCTGTCATGTCTTTCGGGCAACACAAAAGCTTACATCCATGGAGCACTATGGTTTGAGGCAAGAAATCAATAGGTTTTGTTCAATACATTGTAAAATGTATTGAACAAAAAAAGTGTTTTAAAGAAATTAACCATGAAGACTTCTATGTTCTGAGTTGCATTTCCAAACGTGTCTTCAAATCATTTTAAGTGAGAATGATATCTTTACTGAAATCATTTTTTTTGCATTTTTCAGTCACAGAACTTGCCAGAACTACCAGTATTTTTGTATCATATGTTTTAACCCACAGACATACACACATATTAGCATAAACCAGGACAAACATGAGCAATATGACAGCTAAAAAACACTTTCTACTGCTGAAGTCTACCATAATGTTTGAAATAATGTCAGTTATTGAACAGAATTTCTCCTGATGCATTAGGAAATAAATTACTTAAAATAAAATAACAGATAACATATAACAATAAATAACAGACTTACCTGGATACAAAACATAAAAATCGTTGTCAAATGATCAGGCCAAAGTTTAACTGGTGCCTTTTATAGTGTAACTGAATCTGGGAGTCAATCTTTTGTTAATTTGTTTTTTGTCCGGTTTTATGCTGTGACTATTTTGCACAAAAACTGACCTACTACAGACAATGTTGCCGTGTTCTCAGGTATTATGAGTTTGTAAACCCATTTATTTTCCTCCACCCTGGGACTGCAAAAAAGGTGTGTCTCTGAAAAAGGCTGATCTCCAGAGAAAACGGTGAACCTGGAAGTTTCTCTACTTTTACTGTAAATCAGCAGAAGTGTCACATGAAGAATTGAAAAAAGAGAATTATTACAATTTTTTTACTTTGAATAGACATTAAACCAGACAGTTAAACACACTGGCCTCTTATGTCTTTACAATCAGCTCACAAGTCTGCCTCTGTGCTTCACTGAGCATTTCAAATCCAAAATGCATAGATTTCAAGATTTGGCAAATTCTTTTGAAAAACTACTCACCAATCAAACAAATCAATATTTATTCTTGATATTGATTATTTATTCTTTAGAAGTGTTTTTTATTCTTATTTTTATTATCTCTTTTTGACTGTTGCACTGAGCCAAAGCAATTTCCAAGTCTGTGACCTCCCGTTACTTACGTTGGCAATAAAAATGATTCTGATTCTGATTCTGATTCTGATTCTGATTATAAAGCACTTTTCATTCAAAATATGTAATACAAAGTGCTTTACAGATAAAAACAAAAACAAAAAACGACAACCTACTCAGAAAAAAAACACAGACAACAAACCCAATTATGCATCCATCCACACACACAATCACACCCACGCACAAACCGTTGTAAAAAGATAAAACAATGTAAAACATGAGTGCAGATAATGCCATCCAAGGAAGCACCATCCGAGGAGCCATCTGCATTACACATCAGATAGGGCCACAGAGGACACCGCAGGACCCAGAGGAGAGATGAAGCTGAGGCTCCAGACCTCCACCAGGTCCAAGAGCCAGACCCCCACAGCCCCAGCCGCTCCCAGTGCAGAGGGCTCCTCCAGAAGGAACTCTAGAAGTACTACGACAACAGTAAGAACAATAATAATGAATGAATGTAGAATAATAAAATTGGGTAACAATTCGAAAATTAATAAATACTAATGCTTGACAAGACCGGTCTGCATCATCGACCGGTCCAACCGCCACCAATCTCTACTCAGGTATAACTGGACAACTTTTGTCAGCCAATTGAATGTGAAAGTAAGTTCTAAAAAAGTTTATCTGGATTTTACATTGGTTCTGTCTGGACTTCTTTAATATTTTTTTTAGCTTTATAATTTGAGTCTCAGAGGCCAAAACTACAGGGCCTCAGCTTCAGGGTCCAGCTATTCCTCAAAGGATTCTCAGACAGATTAGAAAAAAATGTCAGTAAGGAGTGACTATTTGCTATCCACGAGTGATCGATTTACTGATGTTGTGACTGTTTGTCTTCCAGTTAAAGTTGATAATGTATTTCATATATACTAAACTCTAGTACACATATTAGCCTACTTATTAGTTGTTACTTATACTAGCATATATATAACTTAGTACATATGATTGACTTTATCAAAGGTTTCCAAACATTATTTGATTGGTTAAATATGTAATAAACAGTTTTGCAGTGAACATGAGTTGGCACTTTGTAAACTATGACAGGGCGTAACTCCACACAAGTCTTCAGTGTAGTTGTGATGCACGTAAATGGTGTTTTGTTCCAATATTCCAAGATTTTAGTGTATAGTTTTTCGGTAGGCATCTGACACTTAGCTTGAGGCGACCATAACGTTAGACCCACGTACTACTTTTACGTTCACATCTTGTTTTTCACATGATCATTTTTCTGCTACGCTATTGTCCTTTGATAATTAACCACTGAATTCTGACTTACCCTAGTTCCATATAAAACACTGAGAAGAGAGTGTTTGTCTTTGTGCTTTCATGGTAAAACTTGAAAATAGATTTAAAAAATGGTTTCATATGGTTCTTGTAAATAAACAATTAAAAGTAGTAAAAGGTAACAGTACTGAAAACTTCCTTATGAACTGTAGAAATGAGTTTGATCTTCATTGGAAGACATTTTATGTCTGAAAATGTTTCCATTTTTTCCATTGAAGAAAGACAGACTCAAGAATTAACCAAACTAGGTTGTTGACAAACTCCTCAGTATCTTACTTTAAACTTTTTTACATCGACCTGTGTCAATTTTTTGACAAATCATTACTTGCTGTCCCTTAAATAAGTATATACACAATTACACCAATTTAGTAATACATTACTACACCAACAAAGTAATACATTATTTGTATATTATGTTGTCCTCTTGACTGGGATCATGATGCTGCTTCAGAATCAGCCACTCCATGTCTGAGGCTGTGGTTCTTGAGCAGAGAATGTCTTGCCCTCTCCAGGTGGAGAGGTCCTTTCTAAAGTCGAGCTCAAGTACATCTGTAGATGAGTATGGTATTGACAGCTGGATCAGTGATGCCGGCTTTATTGTCCTGGAGCTGTAGGGATAATTGTCCTCTACATTTTACCCGTACGTATTTACGGTTGGGATAAATTAAGGTAAAACAGAAATTCAGACTGGAAGACAGGAAGAACTAGGCTCACAGCGCTCCAAGTCTTCGAACTGCTGCTTCACTGCAACAGCATCAGTCGATCACACTCAGCTGCAGCGCCACATGCCATTCCTCACCTGACAGTAATCATGCACTACAGCAGCTGGTGTCATGCTCGTGTCTAGGAGACACTGGCATTACACCAGAACTTTCGGCTCAGACTTTTTATAGTGTCTGAATGTTGTAATGAAGACAGAAGATATGATCATTATTTGTCACAACGCTGCTCCTGCAAAGATCATAAGGTCACACCTGATGATTAATCCCAATGTTGTAAGAGGAGACGCAGTTCTCTCCAATGAAATATCTTATCTAACTCAAATTAATGTTGTGAATCTGCGCATTTGATACAGTGTTATGCAACCACAGAACCACAGGCTGTGCCCAAGAACACTGGCCACAAATGAGCATTTAATACATTCAATATGGGAGTAGCCCAGCTGGCTGCAGAAACTCCTTATCGCCACAGGTTGAATTCCTGGGCCTTTCTGTGTGGTTTTTTCCAGTGTTTGGGTGGGTAAGCCGAGTATACATCTGCAGATGGGTCCCCATGCGTTGCACTAGTGTTCGCTGCTCCTGACGGGATGCCCTTGTGGCATTGAATACTGTCACAAGTGCAATGCTTTTACCATTTAATCAGCTATAAATAGCTTTGTTTTTCTTACTTTTGGATGATACAAACAAATTGTTGACATAATGAAGTGTGGCCGTTACATTCCTTCACAAAAAGTAATGTGCAGTCCACAAAGTACTCACTGCTCCCACCCCCAATGGACAGAGCAGGTGACATGTTATATCCATTCACATCAGAGGATTATAAAATAACATTTATTATAAAGGTTCTAAAAACCTAGGCCTAAGCTGAGCCCCATCATGAAGAGTGTGACAAACGTAACAGAGTGCTTCCATCCCAGGAGACTGTCCTTAACATAGACGAGTGAGGAGTCGACCATCAAGGGACCATAGGGAGCTCAAACAATCTTCCATTTGTTTTATGTGGATTATGGGTGATGCATTACCACAAAATGACGTCAAGGTGACCAAACAGTGAAGGGCAAAGCTAACAACGAAGTGGCCCTTTGATAGGATTCACTGCGACTGTTCCAGGCGCGTAGATCCCACACAACAACATTTTATGCAAAAGACTTCTAAGACACAGACAGCATGTTGTGTTCTGATTTGCTTTTACAATAATACATTGTTGGTGAAAAAAAAATATTATTGACAAAAAAGTATCCCAGCTTTAAAGTGCCAAATGTACAGTAAAGAGGCAAGACACTTCACCCTCATTGCCTAGAATAAGTCTGGTGGGAGAGAGGTGGTAGTTTTTTTCTCTTCTGTAAGTGTGCCCCAGGGCAGCTGTGGCAACAGTAGTGGTGTATCACCACTGCGTATACAGTGAATCAATAATGTTGTGTCCAAAAAAGCGTTATATGTGGATTATTTTACATTATTATTATACAGTGTTCTTTTTGCAGAGAAAGAATGAAAAAGATGGCATGTGCTGGATTAAAATGTCTTGCTATATCAGGACCCAAATATTGATGCGTGATTTTTATTTTCTATTTTTTGTTGCTACTGGACCCTTGAATTTATCCTACGGGGATCAATAAAGTATCTATCTATCAATCTATCTATGCATAATCTAAACATTGAGAAGCCTTTTCCCCAAATTGCATATTTCTCCAAATAACCTGAATCATGATACAAACATCCTGTTTAAATGAAAATCAAGTCTAATCAATGACAAGATGAGACGCAAGGTCATGTTGGAGATATTTCAATTATATATCTGTGCAGGAATAGTGGTTGACCGCGGAAACTGAAATAGGAACTTTAGAAACCTGAGAATGGAGGTGTGATGTCGTGTGGATTAGACCAAAAAAAGCCACAGGTTGCTCCCAGTCTCACTAACTCTGTCTGTTGACTATGGACCTGCTATATTTATTACTGTGCGTCTTTCTGCGATTCTTGGCCGTGAAGAGTAAGTAAATTTGCTTATCTTGTATTTAGAGACTGATGACATATATACATCTGAATGTAACACACCGGGACCTGGACAAAAGAGTCTATGATTAAAGCCCTGATAAGACCTTCAATCTGGGGCAGCACGTCGTCACTTATGGACTATTCTGATTAATTGAATTATCTATCTTTTATTTAATTCCCAATAGGCTTTTTGCTGAACTGTTTTATTGGTCACCCTTAGGTCAACACATAGCTTATGTCATACAGTCAACTTTGTAAACCTCTGCTTTTCTCATTGCCATAAAGTTCATAATTAACGGGTTATTAGAATATGTAATGCAAAAGTGGACACATTTTTGTTCATGTTCTAGTCTTGGTTTAGCTCTGTTCTTGCCATGCTTTCATCAAAATTGTGAAAGTACTATATACACAAAACACCAGGTGAATATTTGTTATCGCTGCAATGTGGCCGATATTTATTATTAAAAGTTAAGAAAAGTAACTATCACGAGTCCAGTAATGCAAGCCGTCGCGGGAAACATATTTTTTTGTCAAACTACTTGGTCACAACAATAATTTGAGACCGTCCAAAAACAAAACATAGAGGGTAACAATGAAATGACAATAAGTAATTGTGGCCCACACCCCTCTTTGTGCCTGGTGGAAAGGTAAAATGTTAAAGGAGAGATTGTCTTTACACGCGTCACTGCAGCGGCTATATGAGAACTGCTCTGAAGTCACTGACCACAGACACACACAGTCTCACGGAAAGTTGGAGGTGCAATGTGGGGTAAAATGTAGCTGATATTACACTACAGTAATATTAAAATGCATTCAGAATAGGTTGTTCTGTTCCTATTCCATTATATTTCCTAATGCATGCCTTTAGCAAATCTGTAATCAGTTCAGTTCAGTTCAGTTTATTTGCCATTTGCAGTAACAAAACCACATTGGAATACATTAGCAAAAAGTCACCAGTGTGCACAGACAGACAAATACAGACATAAAACAACATTAAAAGACAGAAATAAAACGAAACAGTAAACAAATGTCACTGTGAAATCGATCGACTAAATACAGTTTCAAAACAAGTGCAAATCATTAAAGTGATAGCTTGTGTTATCATCCATAGGTCTAATTTGATTAATTTTCTATACTGGGCTAATTTGAATCAAGTGGTGATTTGAAAAGGGCCATGGAGCAATGACTCAATTCAGTATTTGTGTAATTCACCTCAGAAAATTACAAACAAAATTTGTTTACTTGAACCAAAATTATTTGACAATCATCTGACAATTTTCAAGCCTTTTTTATAGGAAAAAAAATGACTTGTAATCGGAAATAGTCAGGCTACATGGGGACATTAATCTATCTCAATCTTGGACTATTATTCTTTTTCTTTATTATTTATATGATAAGATAAACCTTTTAAACGTCCCTCAGTGGGGAAATTTCAATGACACAGTTGCGCACGTTATGGCAGAATCAAAGGAGAAATTAGATCACTCAGGTTATGCATACATCTAACAAATTCAATGTCTATAATAGATACTAAAATATAAAAATCATAGTGAATTACCAGAAAAGATTAATGGCACATGTAATAATAATAGCAGGTAAAGTGACTATATTACTGAAGTCAGTGAGTGAACTATCGGTATAGATGAATGGTACAGGCTCTGCAGGTCTCCTTGTACAGTCTGACAGCAGCACACAGAGACAACACTTTGCTGATAAAGCTAAGATGTTTATGTTCTCTTTGATTAATAATTGTGTGTTTTATCACGACTGCCAAGGCTGAGCAAAGCCTGGTGTATAGAGTTCCCTGTCGCCACGAACCATTTGGGCTAATAATGGGTCGTTTCATCCCTCAGGCTTTCACTGACATTTGGTATTTTTTATGTTTGGCCATTTAGATTTAATAATATACTACACACTTGTCCTCATTTGGTCCCGATGAGAGAAACTGACTTTTGTATTTGTCCTGAACTATTTGGGATGGGATGATAAGCGCACTTTCTGGTGCCTGTCTATACATGGAGGCAGTAGTACGTCAACTTATTGTCTCTAATTTCATTGGTAAATAATCGTGTTTTAGTAAAATAGTATATTCAATTATATTAAATATAATAGTGTTGCTGGTGTTGTCTGACAGAGAGAATGACCAACTGTCTGGACCAGGGGTGTCAAAGTATTTTTGATCGGGGGCCATGACTATTTTCAGGCTAAACATTGTTTTTATAATTTAACATGAGTTAGGAAATTGTTTTCTGTTAGACTTTTTTGTCACAAAATTAGTTCAGTTATGTTTGGAGTGAAACAGAATTGGACCAAAGATATAAAATGCTGAGTATCGCAGACCGACCAAAGTATGTCATATCAGCGAGTGAGCTTCTGGAATAGTATTCCACTGTCAGCGAGGGAAAGCACCAGTCTGCCTTCCTTCATGTGGCTGAGGGACACACCAACATGTGATCATGTTTAGATAATCATGATCATAAAAGGGATTTGTAAACGAGCTGTGCAATACAGGTCAGTGTACAGCAGGTCAGTGCAATACAGAATGGTACGATATGGGTCATTATAATAACAGAACAGTCAGGACATGTGCAATTCTCGGGTTTGTGCAATATAGTTGATGTGTTTCAGTTACAAACATTGTGCTTTGTTGTCCACTCATGTTGTTTGTTCTAACATGATGCGATAACTCTTCTTATCCCTGTCTCTCTGTATGTAGTCTGTAAATAGTGTCTCTGTATGTTTTTACTAACTTGTGTGTAACACCAACCTGCCAGGGGGTCTTTAAACTGATGTGTAACAAGCTATGGTAGCCATAATAACCTATTGTTATGGATTCTGCAAGTTATTAGTAAAATTGAAAGTGGTTTCAGTTGTGTGTCAATCAACAATCCCCCTTTAGCCAAGGCAAATTTAATTGAACATTTATTTAATCCTAGAGAGTTTATTTTATCAGTGGGCAGACAAGAAATATAAACATGCAAAGGGTCCTCAGCAGTTTATTTCACTGACTTTGTGGGGGAAAAAAAACGACAAAACATCTGACACCAACAACTAGGTGCAGAATTTCTTAAATCCTCTTTCTTCCCCATCTGAACTTCAGCTTCATCTTCAGCTCCTGCCGTATGATGGACTGATTTGCCATTTATGTTACCAAGCAATGGAGCGGGAACTTAATTAAGTGGCTGTTTAGTGCGGATACAAAAGAACAACCAAGATTAATCACAATTTCATTCTTGAGACACGAAGATTTGCCAACCTATTTTATTTGATATTATGTTAATATAGCAGTTAAGAAAGTGCAACTAATTCTGTCTTGTTTTGTAGGTCAGGACACGGCAGAAGAAATCCGCATCGTTGGAGGGTACACTCCTATTCCACATAGCATTAAGTATATGGTTTCTATACAGACACGCTTACGCCAGCACTTCTGTGGAGGCTCCCTCATAACCAAATACTGGGTGATCACTGCTGCACATTGTAATAAAGGGTAAGCCATGAAGTCCTTGTGGTAAGATATGTTTGATCACAGCACTTCACTGCCCAGTTTGCATGGTAGGATGATGATAGATGTGATAAATGATGGAATATAAACCACCAGTGGATTTTACAAATATGTGCCAGTATAACAAGCCCCTGTGCTCATTGGTGTACACTATCACCATGGAGGCTGGTTGAGCTACTCTTCCGCAGACCATGGCAAATATGTGAGTGTTTTGACCAATCAGCGTTGACTGTAGAGGGCAGCACTGCACAGGCTGGAAGAAGTGATGAGACAAGAAGTTCAGACTGACAAGGAAGACAGAGATCGCCACTGAAACTGCTCTGAGAAAAGCTGTAGGTTCCCTGTCAGCTGAGGACGAGCCGTTTTGGTTTAGGCTGACGTCCATGGGAAAAATTGGGTAGCTACAGTGAATTTAGCCTTTTAGTTAATTCATATGTTGCCTCTTTATGCTAATGCCATATGTATGTATGTATCAAACTTACAGAAGTAACTGTTTCTTAACATTTCAAGATTTAGGTTTCAACTGCCCGAAATTCTAGTTTTAAGGTGTAGGAAGTATACATAGTTCTTTGGATCTTTGAGCCCATCAAACCATGGATGCCCCCGAAATTAGTGGAAGTGTAGAATATTGGCCAGTTCTGGTCCTCTGCAGCAGTGTTCAGTGGAACTCCTTCTGCAGGAGTCACACATGAATGATTTGACCAAGGAGCAAATCAACAGAGGAAGACAAAACAGTGAGTGCTGAAGTCTGGTGTGTATAAAATTCAACCTTTGCAAGAGTTGTAGGTTCTAAATGAGTTCTGAATCTGAGCTGTATGTTGTAGTTGTTTTTGTTGTATGCAGTTAGCCTTTTGTAATTTAGTTGTGTGCTCATGTGCTCAATCATAGACTATATATGGTATATATATATATATATGGTATATATATATATATATATACGGTGATGGAGCCCTGGGCCCTCCCGGACGAGCCGGGGGCTCTAGTCCAGGGGGGGAGGAGCCCTGTTTTCACGCCCGATAATCGGCCGCAGGCTCTGGGTTGGAGGCTGAGAGGCGGAACCTCGTAGACCTGGGTCTTCCCCCTGCGGTGGTGGAGACCACTCAGGGGGCGAGGGCGCCGTCCACTGTGAGGGCCTACGCCACGAGGTGGAGGCTCTTTAGCGACTGGTGCGGTTTTCGTTCCTGGGATCCCAGGCGTTGCCCGCTGGAGGGGGTCCTGGGATTCCTACAGGAGCTCTTTGACAAGGGGAGGGCTGTCGCCACCTTGGCGGTGTTCGCGGCAGCCATTACTTCGGGTCACGACGGATTCGGGGGGTTCACAGCCCGCTCTCATCCGTTGGTTAAACGTTTTCTGCGGGGGGCACGCAGGAGGAGGCCCCCGCTCCAGAGAACGCCCCGGTTTGGGACCTCAGGGTGGTCCTTAGGGGGCTGTCGGGTCCGCCTTTTGAACCGGCGGCGGAGGCGAGTCCCGAGTGTGTCGCTTTAAGACGGCCCTCTTGTTGGCGTTGGCGTCTGCTAAGAGGGCGGGCGACTTGTGTGCGCTCTCTGTCCATGCGTCTTGCCTGTCCTTTGGAGAGGGCGACGGCATGGTGGTATTGTGGCCCAATCCGGCTTTTCTCCCCAAGGTCATCACGTCGGCCTTTAGGTCGAGAGTCATCAGGCTTTCTATCCGCCACCGCATGCCTCCCCCGAGGAGGAGCGGCGGCACCTTCTGTGTCCTGTCAGAATGCTGAGGCATTACCTGGCCATGACGTCGTCATTCAGGTTGGGTGGCCAGCTGTTTGTGTGTCTGGGCCCCAAGAACAGGGGCGCCCCGCTGTCGGCTCAGCGGCTGGCGCACTGGGTCGCCACGGCTGTGCGGCGGGCGTATCAGACGCAGGGTCTGGCCCTCCCGGTGGGCTTCAGGTCGCATTCCACGCGTGGGATGGCGGCCTCTACGGCCCTTCTCAGGGGGGTGTCGGTCGAGGACGTATGCCGTGCGGCTTCTTGGGCTTCGTCCTCCTCTTTCGTCCGGTCTTATCTTTTGGATGTGTCGGACCGGTCGGTGGCCCATTCCGTGCTGAGTGCAGCGGACTGAGTTAGACCGTTAGGTCCCTCCTCTGAGGGGGCCTTCGGTTTACTTTCGGCCCTGGTTCAGGAGCTCTTGGGAGAGGCATCCTACAGGTGCGGTACATATATGTGTGTTTTGGTCGGTCTGGTAGTCCACGTCAGGAGCCCTTGGGAGAGGCGTCCTGTGACTACGGATGACCTATATCTGTGTTACGTGGGGGTATCCTTGGTAGGAGTGGCCCTGTAACACGCATTGTTTCTTCTGCCCTGAGTCCTCACTTTGTGAGGGTCTTGCTCGGGCGGAGCTCCAATCACCCTTCGCTGGCCTGCTGGGAGTACATTTTCCTACGGCCTCCGCGTTGTGTCCCACTAGCGAAGTCCTAAGGGATGTAGCACCATGACGTAGAATTAATAGTTACTTAATGTAACTTAAGTTCTACGAATAGGTGCGTAGTCCCTTAGCTACGAGCCCATCAGGCCAGCCCGGCTTGGCAGAGTTCAAGAGGGGGTGCGGCCTTGTGCAGGGGCATTTATAGAGGAAGGTGGCTGGTGATTGGAGCAAATTATTTTGATCTCTCTGGCGTGTGACCTGGGGGTCACGAGTGATATCCACTAGCGAAGTCCTAAGGGACTACGCACCTATTCGTAGAACTTAAGTTACATTAAGTAACTATTAAGTACTTATCCTCTGTTGAGACAATCCATCCAAACACTGATGTAGCAAATCAAGATGCTGATTAGACAGCATTAATGCCCTGTTGTGTCATAGACTGACACTAATATATTATATATATATAAGGCAAGGCAAGTTTATTTATATAGCACAATTCATACACAAGGCAACTCAAAGTGCTGAACAAAACAAGAAAGCATTAAAATCATAAATAATCACAGAACATTAAAAAGAAAGCTAAAAATATAAAATCCCTCAGTTGTATGCACAGCTAAACAGAACTGTCTTTAACCTGGTTTTAAACATTGTCAGAGAGGAGGCCTGTCTCACATCTTCAGGAAGACTGTTCCAGATTTTAGCAGCATGAATCTGAAAAGCAGCCTCCCCATGTTTAGTTCTGACTCTGGGCACTAACAGGAGTCCAGTCCCTGTGCTCCTCAGAGTCCGAGCTGGTTCGTATGGTACTAACATGTCACTAATATATTTTGGTGCGAGGCCATGGAGAGACTTGTACACAAGCAGAGCTGTTTTAAAGTCTATTCTCTGAGCCACAGGAAGCTAGTGCAGAGACCTGAGAACTGGACTAATGTGGTCATACTTCCTGGTTGTAGTCAGGACTAATGTGGTCGTACTTCCTGGTTGTAGTCAGGACTCGAGCTGCTGCATTTTGAATGTACTGCAGCTGTTTTACAGCCTGTTTGGACAGACCTGTGAGCAGGCCATTGCAGTAGTCTAACCTACTGGAGACAAATGCATGGATAAGAATCTCCAAGTCTGCTTTAGACACTATGTTTTTGATCCTGGCAATGTTTTTTAGATGGTAGAAAGCTGCTGATGTTACTGATTTGATGTGGCTATTAAAATTTAAGTCTGAGTCCAGTATTACCCCTAGATTTCTGACCTTGTTTGAAGGTTTTAGGGAGAGAGACTGGAGGTGACAGATGACGCTCTCTCTTTGTTTCTGGGGACCAAAGACAATCATTTCAGTTTTGTCTGCGTTTAGCTGAAGGAAGTTGTTTTGCATCCACTCACTGATCTGTTGGATACAGTGAAGGAGTGAGTCCACTGGTCCATGTTCTCCTGCAGTCAGTGAGACATAGATCTGAGTGTCGTCTGCATAGTTATGATAGGAAACTTCATTTCTGCGTATTAACTGACCTAATGGCAGCATGTAGAGATTGAACAGAAGAGGTCCCAGGATCGACCCCTGTGGTACTCCACAGGTCAGGGCCATATGATCTGAGACACAGTTTCCAATCTCCACAAAGTACTTCCTGTCTTCAAGGTAAGACCTAAACCAACTTAGGGCGGTGCCAGCGACGCCAACCCAGTCCTCTAGTCTCTGTAAGAGGATCTCATGGTCGACAGTGTCAAAGGCAGCACTCAGATCTAACAAGATTAAGATTGAGACTTTGCCTGCGTCAGTGTTCAGCCGGATATCGTTTGTAACCTTAACGAGAGCAGTCTCAGTGCTGTGGTGGGGTCTAAAGCCAGACTGAAACATATCAAATGAGTTGTTGATTATAAGAAATCTAGTAAGCTGTAGGTAGACAACTTTTTTCAAGGACTTTCCCCATAAATGGCAGATTTGAGATGGGACGATAGTTGTTAAGTACCATAGCATCCAGACTGCTCTTTTTTAGCAGGGGCCTGATGACTGCAGTTTCAGGGCCTTTGGGAATATTCCAGAATGAAGGGACATGTTTCATATATATATATATATATATATATATATATATATATATATATATATATATATATATATATTATATACATATGGTCAATGACTCACATGTCCAGTGTAATAATAATCAACAACTCCAGCAACTCTATGTGAAGGAGTTATGTTGCAGTTAGGGAGGTGTGGTGTTTATACCGGACACTGACTGGTTTCAAACCCCCAAAAAGGCAGAACCGGAACAAATTAGAGTAGCCTTTCTGTGGTTGGCATAAGGTAGAAATAGCACAAGACAGAAATGTGTGGGGTGGAATGGATTGTATGAGAAGAGAATAAATGCTCATTGTAACAGATTAAGACAGATTTGTGAAAAAAACATCTGATGTGTTTATTGAGCAGGTACAGAGTTTTGTACATTTAGGTTTAACCATGAATAATGGGGGCAAAAAGAACATTTATTTGAAATTGGTTTGACTGCACAAAAGAACCTGCCGCTCTGAGCTACAGCAGATTGTCATGTCATGTGAGGAGCTATCACAACATTATTAAGGTGTGATTACAAAGGACAAAGAGCCAACTGGAAACTGATCATGGCTCAGTCACTATGGCCAAACAAAAAGGCTTTTGATAAGTTACATTTATGAACGTAATCTCTCAAGCCAAAGTGATACCACGATCAGGAAACCTCGTCTGCCCATTAAAATCACTGGCTTGTGCTCATTGGTGTACACAATTTCTTGCACAAAATTGGGCTAAACAGATTAGCTAGCCCGAGCAAATTTTTGTTTAATTATTGTAGTTCCATTTTAATTTGTGGCTATTTTAATTTTAAATTAGTCTGATGATTGACTGGCCTGCAATACACCAAGCTGCTGACCGTTGGGTTCCCTCATATTGTCGTCACACACAGGCGATTCTCATTCCGAACATCAGCCGTGATACTTGACCCTCGGCTGACCGGGTCGGGTGTTCTGAGCACATCATCTATAATTCGCTGATCCCATTCCAAGTGTTGTAACATGTACTTATCTTGGTCTTTAACACACAGGATAGGTACATGTTACGCAACACACATCAAAGAAGAAATATAAAACAACAATGAAATACATAGATCTTCATTACTAAAACTTCAATAAAAATAACTTTGAGTGGGTACATTGTAAGGTAAAGATATTGTAACTAATTTTTATACTAAAAAAAAAAGCCAAACAAAAATAATAATATTTTTAGCACAATTAGGTTTCTACAAAAAGTTGGAGCATAGCTGTTCATCAGCCTCGGTGTCTAGCTCTTCTCAGTTTGTGTAATATTCTTTGTATGTTTTAACTCTTACTCTAACTTTTAGAAACAATGAAAAAGTTGTAAAATGGAGCAAATTTCAACTCCTCCTAAAATGAACGCATGGACAAACTTTCTTGCAGATGTAAAGTTGTTGTTGTGATCTCTGTGGTTGTTGTTTGCAGAATAGACAACATGATGGTGGTGGTTGGAGACCATTATCTAGCTATCTACGAAGGCACCGAGCAGGAAATCTACCCCCAGTTTTTGATACCTCATCCTGAATACGACTTTGGGACCAGTAACAATGATATTATGCTAATAAAGGTATTTTATAACACATTGACATTTTGTAAAAGATTTTTACTCCTTCTGGCTTCTGTTTTTTTTTTTTTTTTTTCATCTCATTAAATGGAAATAGTTAGTAGATCACATGTTTCGTGCCCATTGAGAAGGCACTTTTGGTTTTGTGTCTCTGGGAAAGGCACCTTTGATGCAGAATGCAAGCCATTCTCTTATAAAAGTAAAATGAATGTATGTAACTCAATATACCTCAAGTTCACCTCCAAGAGAACTCCCACTAACACACTTGCTATTTTGTCCATATGTCTTTTTGGGGTATACTAATATAAGCCAATTAGAGCATGATGTATACAAGCAAGATGATAACAAAATAAAACATTTAATGTATAATACAAACAAAGAATAAAAATCTGCCAATGGTTTTTCACCCATATGCATTGATGTTCACCTGGCCCTGGAAAACTACCCTACACTTGACCATTCCCTTTTCATTACTACTACCATTCCAGATCTCTAGATCTCAAAATAAAGTCCTATCTCACACTTTCAGGAAGTCTGAATCATCCTGACTCTGGGAACCAGAGAAGGAGGCCAGTCCCTGCGCTCCTCAAAATCCCAGCAAGAAGCCTCCTAGTTACTTTGTAATGGCCTCCAGTCCTTGTGCTTCTGAAATCAGAGCTGCTCTAAAGTCTATTCTCTGAGCGACAGGAAGCCAGTGCAGAGACCTGAGCACAGGTCTCCTGATGAGGACACTCAGGAGACTCAGGACTCGAGCTGCAGCAATGTCAACACACTGCAACAGTTATATTGTATTGGCAACATGCATGAACTTGCTTGTGATTTCACTCGAAATTATTTAATACTAAATGCAAAACACTGAAATACAATTTGAATTTACAATGTGTAGTATTAATGGGAAGGGGTAGAAAATGGATGGATGGATGGCTGTAAGTTCAAATGAATTCATAATGATAACCACCTTTATTCAGACCTATGGGGTGAGTTATTTATCAGCACCAAACAGTCAATCAGGAAGGTAGAGAGGTGAGCGGAGAGCAAGACACCCTCTCCTGTTTTATGAAACTCAGATATTCACATGAATCCCCACCTGGCGCTCATGATGACTGTGTCCTCTCCAGCTCCAGGTGCCAGTGTGGCTGAACAGCTTCATATCCATCATCATTTTGCCGCGCCAGGACGCTGTACGTGCCCCAGGATCAATGTGCAGTGTGTCGGGATGGGGAAGCACCGAAACACACAAAGACGGCTCTCCTGTTCTACAAACCGTCAAACTGCCCATTTTTGACACAGAACTCTGTAACAGCACCACATCGTATAATGGAGGCATCACAAACCGCATGCTGTGCGCTGGATTCAGTACAGGAGGCCAGGATGCCTGCCAGGTGCATGCAACACTTTCCTTCTGTCTGTATTATAATTATGATTACAGGCATGCATTGGTAAACTGGATGTATATTACAGGTTAGTCAGACAAACGTGTATGACTCACAGCCAAGTCATCAGTAGCAGCTTTTCCAAACAAAGCAATACTCACCTCCATTAGCTCCCATTTGCCCAAACTTAACATTGACAAATGGCTGGTCTCTGTCCAACAGGGACTTGTAAATCAATGTAATTTCAGTTCCTGACACTTAATTCTGCATAGCAGCATATATGCTAGTCCAGAGTTTGGCAACCCACAAAGAGCCAAAAAAAGGTGAAACAAGTCTGTCTTTAGCCACTCATAAGGCTCACATGAAGCCATAAGGCTCACATGAAGGCTACACTGGCTGTAGGTGTATATTACATAGTATAGCCTACTATCAAAATGACTATGCATAGGCTACAAAATAAATAATGTGGATTAATGATTAAACGTTTATTTTCCCTTCAGCGCCTCCTGGAGAGAGTACTATTTCTTTGCTATGTGATATGTGGTGCTTTAAATTTAACTTCAATTTTGTAGCGTTGATGAAATGTTTAAAAACAGTAAATGAGTCTAAATTTTGGCTCAGAGTTCACATACCTGTGGCACTCTCACTTTTCAGCAAGAAGGTCCTGGGTTCAAACCCTGGTCGGAAATAGGCCTTTTTGAGAGAGAGAGGCATGTCTTTAATTTTCTCGAGTCTCAAAAGTATCAACATAGGTGCTCTGATATTTTGATGAATGAATCCTTCATGTAATCACCATCCATGAACGGTTTTTCTGGCTTTATTATTTCTCTTGTTGCAACAAAACAACGTTTGGAGATGAATTCACCCCAGAAGAACTGCTATCGAAGTGTTTCTCTCACTTCTAACTGGGCAGTCAGCAGCAACCCTTAACCTTTTTCCCAAATGACTATTTTTGTTGTTCGACTACTTCCCATTACAAAGCAAAAACGTAGCAGGCCTTCCTTGGCAATGAAAGCAAATGATTTGGTCCAGGTTCTCATCAGCTCTTTGTCTTTTTAGCTTTGGAGTCCCTCTCCTTGAGTCTCTGGACCCCCTTGAAAAAGTGATGGTTCATCTCAAGGGGCTATCCTTAAGAATAAATGAAAAAATGTCGTACAAGCAAGTTTGTTTACAACAGAGCCCCCCTCCACAGCCGCGGGTTGCCAACCCTTGTGCTAGTCAATACTTCCGAAACACTTTTGTCTGCTCCCATGCGGCCTGTCGGTAACATCAATGGGTGTGACGCATTATCTGATCATGTATGTTACCTGAAGATTCCAACCATGACTTCATCCTATTGTGAAGCATCAGCTGCACCTGTTCCTCTGTGTAACTGAGTCTGCTCTGTTGTTTTTCAGGGGGATTCTGGTGGTCCACTGGTCTGTGACGGCTTGTTATTTGGCATTGTGGCCTGGGGCACTGGCTGCGCTGTCCCTGAGTTTCCTGGAGTTTACACAGCCGTGTCCAAATATCGCACATGGATAGAAATGTCTGTGTTCAGCTATTACCGGAAGTGTTAGTAAATTCATGATCTGACTGAGATTGTTCTTTTTTACTCATACACTGCAAGGATGTATATCTTCCCTTGGTAAAATAAGTTTTAGGATTTTGATCTTGATACATAGATTTGCCTGCATGGATGACATTAAGGGATAAAGTAATTGGTTGTGAAATTTCAATCACAAATCTTAATATGGTCTATCCACTACAAAACATGCCTCGTAATTAAAACTGCAAAACTGCCACAAAATGAAGGAGGGGTGAAAAAAGTGGATACAAATTCAGAATTTAACCCATGTGATTTCCTTAGGTTAAAACGACTCACCACAGTGATTTAAAAGTAGAAGAAAAATACCCTAAATTAGGGTCTAAATGACCCAGGGCTGGTCAGTTTGACCTGAGGATTGTACAAGAGTTAATCTAAATTAATTGAGAAAATGCATCTTATCAATACAAGTCAGAAGTGTACCTCTAAGACGAATGCCTTGATCTTTTTTGCAAGGTAATTGTGCACATTTATATTATTATATTAATGTGTTGTACTTCCAAGCTTGAAAGCATCTGTGTTTATCTGTTTAAGGCATTTCCCAAACCATAGGTCTATCTTTGCGGTGAAAAGATGCGTCTGTAATAAGTGATGTGCACACACTTTGGACATAGGTCTTACACTCACACTCCAATGACTGTATTGGACTTTTGCAAATGTTATACGTGCAGTATATAACTAAATCTTTGATCATAGGTCACGTTAGCTTTCCTGCTTTATTACAATTCTCATTTAAGACTTTGATTTGTTTTACTTCAGACAAAATTGATATGCAGACATATTTTGAATGAAAAAAACTTGACTCTTGATTTTCAAATCTCCAGAAATATCACTGCTATTTCCAAGTTAGACTTAAGATTTGTTGAAATGCAATAAGCACTTGTACACAGGTCATAGGTGTAAGTTATTCCTATATATGTCATTGTATTGTCTAAACATATATTGTATTTGTCTAAAAATATATTGAATATATATTAACTTAGAGTTGGCTTAGAGCTGTAAACATGTTAGTGAACTGGTGGTTATAAGAGGGTACAATATTTACAGCATATTGCACACATGTCATAATCATTTGTAATTCTGATATATAATCACTTTATTCTGCTGTATATGTAACGAGAGGGCAATGACATTCACATTAGCAGACCGGCCATTTTGGAGAAGTACTATTTCCATTCAACGTTGAATGTTGAAAGCACATTCCATTATAATTGACACATAATCTGCTATGGCTACCAATCAACAAATAATTAATATGAGTTTTTGCATGCAGTGTCATGAACTTTGTCACTTCCTTTTGAGAAGAGAAACCCAATACCTATTTGTCAACTGGTTCACTGATATTATTTCATTATATTGTATTAGGAGCAAACAACTACAATACTCTGGCAGTTCACATGTCAAATCATTTGTTCTTCATGATCATTCTAAATTATCATATTAATTGTGGAAAAACTTCCAAAATGAAATCCATTATGCCTTATTTTTACATACTGTATGCATTATGTATGATGGCAGTGGCCAATCAGCTAAAACGTGAATGTCTTACCCCGGTGCAAGTCTGCGAAGAGTGTGAATGGAGACGGACAGCCGCTGCTTTACAAAGACTAGTTGTAGTTCATCATATGATAGTATTAGCACATAAAATAGCACATTCTAATTTTAGGGCCAACCTGCCAACATGCACCTAAGCACGATTTGTGAAGCACCTTTAAGTGAGAGTGGTTTAAATGCATGGTGTGACTGAGGTCGCTAAGACGAACTGTAGTCTTTTATATTACAAGTTAATAAATGCATTCTTATTGAACATTGTGTTTATTGTCTCATGTCTTCATTACACGATTCACCGACTTAAAGACAAAAACATGTGCAGACCGACTACTCTCTCATTAGAGCATTCTGGAATAGGGACAGATTATTATTATTGGGACATCAACACATTTTTGAAGCTGCAAATGACATGAAATAAAACAAGCAAAATATACTTTACCTGCAGAGTTTCAGATTTAATATGAGTGTATTTACATTTGAATTTGGGAAATGGTGTTGGGACAGTTTCTATTTTTTTTTGAAGGGCCAACGGTAGAGGGACAAATGGTGGGCTTATCTTGCCCAATTTTGTTTTTTAAATAATTCGTTTATTTTGATCACCATTAGCTGCACTGCACCAGCCGCTGTCCTTAAACATGTACGTGCAACATTATATGAAATTAGACTATTACACCAATACAGATATCTTGTAGTTTAAGGTTGAACGTATTAGTAGAGGCAATCAACTTGAGGCTGATAGAATAATGAGTAAATGCAACGCTGCAGAATTCTTGAGAGAGCAGTTGGCACACCTTTAACACCACAACTCCCAGAGCAGTCGTAAAGGGCAGTAGTTTTGGAAGTGTAAATACTCAGCGTATGTACCTTTCTGGTCTTCATGACTTTGTTACTTTTTCAGTGTATATCTTTAATTTGTTTCTATGTCATCATTTAGATAAAATTATCTTTTATTTTTTGAAACGTGAATAGGTCTACCATCAACACCAAATGCAGCTATTTGGGTTGCTTTCTTTCTTTAGCAGTTAAAAAAGTACTTTTTTCAAGTTGTTGCATGACTGGTTCTGGTACTGCACTGGTACTGGACTGTTCCTGGACTGGTACGGGTTCAGCTTGGTTTACCACCAGAGAGGAGGTGTGCTAGTGACCATAGCAACACATTGTTTACTGTTAACAAACTGTTTTCAAGTTATATTCACAGGATTTCCTTGGTTTGAGAGGGAGCCGTCGAAATGGCTGTGAGAGTTCCAATAGTTTCATAATTGCGGGAGAGTTAAAATCACTCAAGATGTACATTTTGAGTGACTTTAACTTCCATTGCTTTTATTGTTGTGATCACGATTACAGAGCAAGCACATTGGCACGGAGCAGCTGCAATCTCTCTAGCTGGCTACCTCGTTTCGCCCATGGTGTCTCCCCTATCACGGCAAAATGAATAGTGCATGCCCTACTTTGACGGCATCTCAGTTTACACGGCTCTGTGATCCTGGGTGTGTCAGTGCCTCGTGCGATTTATATATTCCAAGCTAAATTCCACCTATTATCCGGGCTATATTTTACAAGCTATTGTCGTATAAAAACTAAACTTCTATTGTCTGTGTCTCTAGGGGAGGTGTTAAAGTATACTCTTTGACATAGAGGATTTTCAGTAGTCTATATGTTTTTGGTCCATCAAAAGATTATGTTCCCCTCAGTGCAGGCTCTCACTGTCTAAACTAAACGTGTTCGAACAGCGGGACATATTTTATTAAAACTTCATGGTACACGATTTCATACATAAATAATATTAAATCATATTAACTCCATGGTGTTTGATAAACCTCCAATCCATTACATTTACTGTGTGGGGCATTGGGACAGTCCCATGCCATGCTCCGTCTCAGTACGAGCTGAGGATGGCTCATGTCGCGTTGTCAAGTTGAATGTTACATGTATTTGTTTCAGATCGGGTTGTGAATTTCAGTTCTGTGCAATATGCAAGCAAACCAATCACACCTCCTCAACAGAATACTGTCTAGTTACTTGGTGATGAAAAAAGTGGGTGTGGGGGGCCAGGCTACCCTGGCTAGATCTTGCTCCGATCCTGTTCTCGTTCTTTGTTTGCTCTGGATTAGAGTTTGCTTCATTTTATTTTAGGCCTAAAGATCCCGACTTTCCAAACTAATATTGTTCTGTTATAAACTGTCTTCAAACATGGCTCAAGTCTAATTTGAATTTAAGTCACAGCTTAGCTTGGAATCCCCATAATGCATTGTGTGTTCAAATAATTTTGAACTGCACAACTGCATGGAAACCCTAGCCAAAATGTTTGCATGAATTTGGGAATCCCAGAACAGAAAGGAATGGCAATGCCATGGAGGAGGACAGTGGAGATGATTAATTGGTTATTTAGATCATTTTGCGGGTCACATTTCCTGTTTTGTTTTTGTCAGATTATGAGCACTAACTGTAACTCATCACCACACACACTACACCACACTAAGTAATTATTTGATTGTTTAGAATATGTTTATGTCTGAAAGGGAGAGTCACTTTTACTTTCTCAAAAGGAAACAGTTGTTTTGCAGGCTAACTTTAGCGAGTCTGTGATCGGCACTTTAGTCTGACAATCTTTCACCCAATCGCCGGCGTAGCTTAGGCTCCATATGAGCAACGCAAAAATTATTTTAGTGCCATACTAATAAAGTTCTACCAATTTAACTGCCAATAACAAAAGGACAAATGTTGAAGATTGTAACGAGAGGAATACAACTTTTTGACAAATTTACAAACTGGAGACATCTGTTTTTGCCTCTGAACTCTTCATGATATTGTGTGAATGTGGAAACTGCTTTCAACCACAAGATGGCATCTGAGCGCTGATATCATGGTCACTAGTCTGGCACCATGGGCAAAGATTATTCTCAAGTAGAATAACATCTCACTTTGTCAGGATTTAACAATGTATAATGTCCTAATAAAGACATATCATAAAATCGTACCTTTTGTCCAAATCCTCTGATAACTTTCTGAGTTTTGGTGTGAACTAACATTTTACTGAAAAAAGTGTAATCACAATATAAATGCTGTACTGTACTGTCTTAGCTTTATTTAGAAAATATTGTCCTGATTGTCCCTGTTCATTAATGCACACAGTCCCATTCAAATAAATAAATTGTGCCATCATAGAGGTTTCCTGAAAATTTCACCCAAATCCTGTCAGAATTTTAATGACATCGGTTATCCAAATGAGTTTGAAGTGACAAAGAGACACCTGACAGACCAACAAATGTGGCTCATAACATTTCCTCCCCCCAGGGGCAGAGGTAAGTATAGATTGATATGTATGCTACGTTACTTTAGAGAAGCTAGAGATGGGGAAATATGTCTCTCCTTTTTGATTTCAGACCAAGTGCAGTGACCCCTGTTTGAGTTGAGTGCAGGCTC